TGGGACACGATAACTCTCTTCCTAATTGGGCTAGAATGTTCAAACTTGGTGTATGTGTTGATTAGGTCAATGCCTTGATGGAGTTCGAAGATGAGCATTTTCCGCTTAGGGTAAGCAGAGATAAGCAATTTGATTGGTTGATGCTTTGGGACACGATAACTTTTAATTGAGCTAGAATGTTCAAACTTGGTGTATGTGTTTATTAGGTCAATGCCTTGATGGAGTTCGAAGATGAGCATTTTCCGCTTAGGGTAAGCAGAGATAAGCAATTTGATTGGTTGATACTTTGGGGCACGATAACTCTCTGCCTAATTGAGCTAGAATGTTCAAACTTGGTGTATGTGTTGATTAGGTCAATGCCTTGATGGAGTTCGAAGATGAGCATTTTCCGCTTAGGGTAAGCAGAGATAAGCAATTTGATTGGTTGATGCTTTGGGACACGATAACTTTAGTTCTAATTAAGTGAGATTGATGAAACTTGGTCTATAGTTTCATTACATCAATACCTTGACTAAGTTCAATCATGAGCATTTTCTACTCAGGCTAAGCAGAGCGATAAGCAATTTGATTGGTCGAGACATTGGAACACAATAATTCACATTCTAATTGATGTAGAATGTTCAAACTTGGTGTAGGCTTTCATTAGGTGAATGCCTTGATGGAGTTCAATGATGAACATTGTATGCTTACGGTAAGCAGAGATAAGCAATCTGATTGGTTGATGCTTTGGGGCATGATAACTTTGAGAGAGATGAAACTCCGAATATAGATTCATTATATCATTACCTTGACTAAGTTCGATGGTGAAAATTTTCTGCTAAGGCTAAGGAGCAATAAGCAATTTAATTGATTGGTCAAGACTTTGGAACATAATAACTCTGCTTTTAATTGAGGTAGAATGTTTAAACTTGATGTAGATGTTCATTAGGTGAATGTCTTGACTAAGTTCAATGATTAACATTTCGAGCTGAAGCCAAGCAGAGCTTATCAGTTTCATAATCTTGATTCTATTTGATAGACAGTGATGAAACTTAGTCTATAGTTTAACTGTTCGATACTTTTGAAAAAAATAAATGTTCTATTAATTAATACGTGTCATCTAATTATTTTGCTATTTCGGCGGGGGACATCAGCCTCACTGTTGGCTTGTATTTCCTAACACAGAATGTTGGCCCTTGGATACAAATGTCCAAAATAAACTCTATTACTCACAATACACTATTTCACTGTCAATATCAAAATACGAATGAAGTGTCATTTACAGGATTTGATAATATTAAAAAAAATAAGTCATGCATGAACTCATTAGCAACACTTCCTTTGAGCGGTAATTCGACACAGAAAGGTAAATAAAAATGCAGTAAATACTTTTTGACTTATACAATCACAATTATGATTACATCAGGTGGTAATTCGTAATATTATAGACTATAGCGCTTCATTTGCAAGAACTGTCACAACTTTTAATATCAACATTATTCATATAGAGCGTTCCATTTGAAACACATCATATTTTCCAATCAATCATTCAGCTGGACCTTTCCACATTCAATAGTGGACTATTAGTGAACAATGTGTTGAGTGTGAATAAATATTGAATAAAATTTATAACAAATTATTTTACTGTAAAACTTAGTAATAATGTTCAATCTTTAATTATCAGTACATCTTTATGCTTCCTGGCACAAAGTTTCAAGGTGTGAATTAAGAAGTAATAAGAATGATAACAATGTGTATTAATTATAAAAAATTGCTGAAAACCAAAAGCGGTTTCAAGGAAATTGTGATGCAGTATTTACAATATTCCATTCAGACCCGAAACATTTAATCCAAATCCAAATGATGTTTGATGATGGTACTCCATACAAAAAGTCTGAAAGTAGTTCCTTGAAAAAAATGGAGGATATTTGAAAAATAAAAGTTTAATTATGTGGACGTGGTGTGCTAAGACAAAGATAGTTTTCAAAATTTGAAGTCTTGATGGTTGTAGTGTATAATATTCAGGTATCTCTGTGAGACTTTGTGATTTCCCATGTTGAATTGTTTACCCTGTAGCTGCGCAGTGTTGAATGGTATATTTGCTTCATATTTTCCAAAGTTACAAATTCCAAAGTCATTATTTTTGATTTTCATCCATTTTTTATTGTTCAGTATCACCTCAAGCACGTTTAGACACCAAAACAAAGGCACTAAAGGTGTTGTGAATGATTTTTTGAGGACCCCCAATTTCAGGCGTTGTGACAATTTTTGTCACTTTACCTTGCCCTTAATGGCATCAGTGTTTGTAGACGTGGTGACGCGACATTGTTGACTTTATTGACTATACTATGGTGACTTTAGTGTCCTTACAAACATGACTTTATTGGTTATGATGACTTTAATGACTTTCCAAACGTGACAGCGACTATGACTTTAATGTCTTTTCTGACGTGACATTAGTGATTTCTGAAAAACATAAACATAAATTTGTCTTGACTTAATGTACATGAATGTAGAAAACAGAAACGTGACATGTAACAATTAATAATGACTTGTTGACAGAAGATTGCTGAACGAGGCTTATATAATTACATGCATCAAATTCAGTTGTCTGGGGCTATTTGCCACATGTGGTAAGACAACTCGGAGGCTATTTGCCACTTATAAGTCTCCGCACCGGAATTATCTACCGATTTCAATGAAACTTACAGATCACGATAACATTAATAATATCACAGAGTAGCCAAAATTTCGACCACTTCCGGTTAGCAGTTTCCGAGATATCAGGTTACCACACATGTAATTATAATCTGCACGTTTCATTGAAATCGGTTGGTAATTGCGGTATGTAGCCGTGCCACATGAAATGTGTGGTAACCTGATATCTCGGAAACTGCTAACCGGAAGTGGCCGAAACCTTGCCTACTCTGAAATATTATTAATGTAATTATAATCTGCAAGTTTCGTTGAAATCGTTTGGTAATTGCGGTCTGTAGCCGTGCCACATGAAATTGTGGTAACCCCCATATCTCGGAAACTCATTACCGGAAGTGGTCGAAACTTTGTCTACTCTGAGATATTATCAATGGTGTCATAATCTGTAAGTTTCATTAAAATCGCGTAACAATTGCGGTCATTATAACCTCGATTTTAATCATGTATCAAACCAACATAAGCTTTTATTTTTAATGACAAATTAACAGATTTCCCCTTTTTTTGCCTCTTGTAATAGTGATGTGATATTTCAACTTCTTAATTTAGTATTATTTGTTTTATTCTTATTTATGCAATTTATTGATTATATTAATGTGAAAATTTTAACCGTGTCTCATAAGTCGTCATCGGCTGGTATCTACTTTTTACTTTTATGTAACTATATGTATTAATATTTTAAAAGAACCTTTGTATAAATGTAGATGATGACACATTAATAAAATTAAATATATTTTTATCTTTCTTTTAGTAAACCATGTGCCGCTCTGACAGACTATAAAATTAGCCCAGGAACAGATTAAATCAACATTAATTGATCGATAAAAGTCTAAAGGGTTTCAACAGCTTGGATGTAATGTTTAATGTAGGATTTAGATATGTTAATTTTCGCTGTTATTACTATTAAATACAAGACCATATGCTGTTAAATCTATATGTAGACATATCTACCCATTGAGCGTTTACATGGAAGTATACAGCGCTTATACCAATTACTAACTGAAGATAAATATACCAATTGTAAAAATCACCATATTTTATTTAAAGATGATGTGTAGAAAACCAAAAAGATGGCTATTCTGTGGATTGATTTGTTTGTTTGTTTTAAAGATATTATTGTACAGGAGTCAAGAAAAGGGTATGGTGTAACCTATTTTCGTGATTTTCGAAAGGGGTGGGGGTGGGGTGGGGTGGCTGGGGTGGGGCGTGATTAAGAGTATCGCTTAGCGATGACTTTTCAGATTTGTCTCATGCCCATGAATGGTGAATGTCAACTCAAAATTCAATATAATTTAAACAAACTGTTTAAAAATGTACATCCTTATAAGAATCCGACGCTTTTTTGCAAAGAAATAATCTCCGGACAACCGATTATGTTTTTTTAAACTTACGCTCGTATTTCTTTTCAGGATCATTTTGTGAAAATTTACAACGAACTGATGAACAGGTACTTATAAAGTTTAATATAAAATGAACCTTTTTTGAATTTTTGAATATTTCAATTCGTATTTAATATAATTTCATATTTCAAATTTGCTTTCAAGAAATTTTACCTGCCCGCCAACTTGCAGGAGAGGGTTCCCGGTCAGTATTTATGCGGAATATATTAGCATTTTATCAGTTCATGGGTTTGACTCGAGTACCAGTGCATGTGATTAGCGTCATGTGATTGATCCCTATTTTCATAGAACCTATTTTATAACCGAGAATTTCATGGTACATTACGTATGCTTTTAAAATGTTATAGTAAAGAGTAAAGGTCACTTTTTGTGTTCATTCAATACACATTACAGGCCTAACGCCGATTGTCTCTCAAAGAAAGAACAAAATCTCCATTTCAGATAGGAACATAATGATTGTATTCTTTTATTTTCTACATTTGTAAAATTTACTGAACACAACCCATTTATTGAAGAAAGAGTGACATGTATGGATGTTTTATTTTTGTACCACAGAATAGAGTAGCAGTTGATTTCCAAACCTCTGCAGTTGGTGAAATTCTAAAAGAGAGGAGGAGAAACTTATTACATTTCTGTGCTAACAAAGAACTGCTTAAAGCTGGTAATAGTTCAGAAAAAATTACAAGGGGCCATTTTGTGTATGATCTTAAACATAAATTTGTTTATTGTGCAGCGGAAAAAGCCGGGTCTACCTTTTGGAGAAGATTATTTCAGATAATTGCAGGCGTATCAAATAAAACAAGCCCCTTTGATATACATTCGGATAGTGCTCTCGGTGGAGACCAGAAAACATTCCGCCCCATTTCGTTTGATTTTATCCACGCTCTACTTCAAGAATCGGTAAAATTTGTGATTGCCAGGGATCCATTTTCAAGACTTTTTTCTGGTTTTGCCAATAAATTATTTGAAGTTAATCCCAGCTTCTGGTCAACAGTTGGTCGAATAGTTATCAGAAATACAAGAACAAATGCAAGTAAAAAAAGCTTGTCGTTTGGCCATGATGTAAGTTTTCCCGAATTAGTTAAATACGTCATTATGTCAGAAAGAAGTGGTAGTTATAGAGACGGACATTTTATTCCTATATCAGACCACTGCAGACCATGTCAAATAAAATATGATATAGTTGCTAAAATGGAGACCATTAAAGAAGACACTATGTTTGTATTGAAACGACTAAATATGACACATGTTGATGAACTGGTGAAAGCTATAGAAAGTCTTGACGAAGTATCGGAATTAGATTCAATAATAACAACCTCTCAACACACCTTGCGGCGGCTTACACCGTCATTGCCGGTTTCGAAAGCAGAAGGTCTTCGCCGAACATGGAGAAGTTTTCAGTACAGAGGTTACATCGGAAAACACATTAAATATCCTTTAAGTAAAGAAGAAGAAGAAACTATCAACAATGAAGGGTTAACTCAAATATTTCAAAATGCTGTAAAATCATCAGGATCTAGAAAATCTCGTTTAGAAAACCGCCAGCTTGTTTTACAAGAAGCCTACAGCCAAATACCATTAGAAGATTTGCAGGCCTTAAGTGATATATTTAAGACGGATTGTGGTGCTTTTGGATATGATTGTAAACCAGATTATATTTTTAAAAAATCAGAAAAGGTTCAGACTAACTTTTTGGATATATGGAGTGCTTAAGCTTGATATTAATGTTAAACATACATTATGCAAGAGTTAAATCTGACTATTGCAGGTCTTTCTTTAGGCCTAAAATGTTATATAAAGTATTAATTAGACATTTTTTTTAACAAAACAAGGTCTTAATCAACTCTTGATGGCATCGATTTTAACTAGATTAGAACTGTTCGCCATTTGAAAATTTAATTTAAAAATGAGAAAGCGAGGCTATGTGTCAAATATTGTAAAAGTGGTTTCTTTTGATTGTTTTTATCTGAATATAAGAGTGATCTAATATTGTTGTTTCTTATTAATTTATTAAGCGAAGATAATGGTGAAATTTAAGCTAGATTATTTATATCTTCCAAAAATCTCGGCACTATTAAGATGCCACGTGTAGGATTAAACTCATTTTTGATTGGTGGAAGACTATTTACGAAAGACGCCCATTACTCGATACGAAGTCTGGTTGGCCAGACCTAGATTCCGTTTGGTTAAATATGTCAATTACTGAGTAATGGCGTTGGTTAAATCCTAGCGTATTGTTTTAAAAGTTTAAGCTGGCACCATTAATCTTACTTAATTACAATCAATAAAGGGCCCTCTATTAAAGCTCTTCGATATAAGTATACAATTATATTAACATTCTTAAGATCTATTGACACCCAATCAGCGTCAAGGTTGATTTATGCTTTTTAGTGCATTCTAGCCCCAACGTCTTTAATAAACATAATATGTACATTTAAAATAAACTATATAATCTATAAAATATGCATTCTTTAAAATACATAAAAATAAAATATCTAAAATAAAATATTGGTGCATATTTCGTCAATATGCACTGTAACAATATACCAGTCCCCTGGTTACCACAATGCGTACATCTAGTCAAAACTACTAAAAGTGATAACTTGGCTCAGAATGAAGTAATTTGAATGAAATTTTCAATTTTTTTATTTTACATTATCTATTTTTGAGCTATTATAGCAAGAATGGCCAGCTCTTTATCTAAATATCACATAATGTATCTTTAAAGATATCTATTTATATTAAAAGGGGAAATTCCAGACAATATATTTCAGGGAATAAAACTGGCTAATTCTAGATGAAATAATGAAAAAGTGACGAAATTGATTCCCAACAATGTCAAAATGGAAATATAATATTGTTAGGTATATGGTCATCTTGAATCGTCAATTTTTATAAGACTTCTAATTTTATGTTGAACCGTAGCCCCATTACCAGCTGTTATCACAAAACAATATATGTATTTATTGATTTCTTAGAATCTATCTTTTTTTTCACTTTCAGCATTCTTGTTAATGATTACGTAATTATTCGCGTAAAACATTGTATGTAAGAATGGGTTATTTAAATGAAATTAGGGAGGGCTGCAGAAAACTGGAACGATTTCTTTTATTGATCAGTGATTTAAAGTTAGTCTTCAATCCAACATATTTACCAGTGAATCTATAAATAAAAAAGGAAATGAAAAATGAAATGAAATGGGGTTTAACGTCCTACTGTTCTGCTCCTAACCTGGGCTAATGAAGACGGGCATACGCCATACAGTGTGCTGTGAGGGAAATTTTGCCCGGGCAGCGGCGCTACGGCCTACTCTTATATCGAATTCCAACTGCCAATGGATCTTTTACGTGCACGCCAATGTGTACACGGGACCTCGGTTTTTCGTCCAATCCGAACGACTAGACAGCTGTCCTTGTCAGGCCCTCCACCCTGGATCACTGACAAGAGGAAATCACGCCGGAAAATCTGGGTGAACTTTCTCGGCCAATGCAGGGATCGAACACCCGACCTCCAGGCTAGCGAACAGTAGGACGTTAAACCCCATTTCATTTCCAAATGTAGCTGAAATATACGAAAATTGAGTGATAGATTGGACATATATAGATTTCAGAAGCCGTAGCAACTTGGTAAGATAACCCCACAGGTTGTCCATTATTAGTTATCAACCCTTAATACGAACATTGATTGATATTGCTTACTAAAATGCTTTCTTTTGACTTTTTGCCAAGCAACAGTCTTGGTCATGCGGATGACTGATTGAAAGGTTACGTTCTTGCCAGACGTGTTGGCGACTTAGGGGATACTCGACAGCTGAAACAATTTCGTTGTGTTAAATTACGCCATGATTCTAATGACACAGCCTCAGTTGAAGGAACTGACAGAACTGTTATATGACAGGACTGGATTTTGTGTCACCTTATTGTAATTCTGTCAATTACACTCAGGATAAGCAACAGAGCATTCATCGTCAAATTCCATTTCAATCTATGCCCTGAAATCTGCACGATTCCACATAGCTAACGAATGTACATTTTTTATTTGCCTAATCTAAAATCCTTAGCATTGAGAGGAAACTTGGGGACACGGAGAAACCCCACCCAGGTAGACAGACGACCCTAGCCTTTCACACTAACACTAATTATGGAGTAACGAGTACTGGTTTATTAACATACAACGTTTCGACAATGATACTCTCGTCTTTATCATTTACTTGATAAAGACGAGAGTATCGTCGTCGGAACGTTGTATGTTAATAAACCAGTACTTGTTACTCCATAAATAGTGTAAGTGTGTTACTGTTGTGTTACTAAATGCCACATAAAGAAGAAAACCCTACCCCTTGTCACGTACAAGCTTGGGATAGAAGTCACGCCACCTGACCCAACATATAATATAAGCGACATAATATATCTGTTGGCAAAGCTTTATTATTCATTACATTTCATTGGTACAAACAAAACAATTACACAATACCTTGATCAAATCAATTTCTTAGTAATAAAACATCACCATGTGCTAACAAAACATACAATACAAACATTGAAAATATGCATGATTATAGAGCTAAAGTTTAAAAAGGTATATTTCAAGAATTCACAGTCCGTATAACACACCCGGGTCATGATAGAATTGGATGCAATTCACTTTACTTAAGCGCACATTTAACCTCATTCTTTAGACTGATACTAAAGGTAACTGGTTTTTCGGACACTTCATGTACAACACGGCTCTCTGAGGCCTTCATCCAATCATTAGCTTCCGCACTTGTGGCATCTGTGCAATGGAATGGAACTGATATTCTCTCTTTTTGGCTCGAGTTACAGGCACTTGAACACATGGTGACGGGTTTAATTGAGAAACAGGCTCGCTTTCCCTTGCTTCGTGATTTAATTACTGTTTTGGAAACTGGCACACAGGAAGCTGTAAGTATATTAAAGTTAGAACAGTAATGAGTAAGCAATTAAAAGATCATCAGTAGGTGTGATGTTAAACAAAACATAGAAGTGGGTTTCTAAAGCGACCTCGGTTATACTCGGTTCGCTGTGCGTGTAAACTCATCAATAATCAAATGCATATCTATTTGGTTCCCCTTTTTCACGCATAACCTTGTATAGAACAGGAAAGGCAGGAATGAACACCACCTCGTTTTATAATGGTGGTAGTGGATGGTGCGGGGCGAGATATAGCCATCACACTCTTTTTTCCTTCCGTTCGACTGTCCCCTTTTTATTTTCTGAGTAGATCTCAAAACAATTCAGCATTTCTTTGTGAAAATTTCTACACAGTAAAAGCTAGTACTTAAATGTCCTTTTGCAATATGGACATATTAGACTTTTTATTGTTAAAGTTCCCATGCATAAAATGGGACGTAGTCTAATATAGGGCGGAGGTTGTTTCCGGGAAAGATCTCAAGAACCATCTCGTATTCCTTTGCGACGTTTTCTACACGCAACAACCGACCACAGAATATGCACCCTTTGCTGGTTTTGTTTATTTCCAGTCCAGAACTTGAAAACTATTTCTTTAAACGAAACTTATACGTACATTAATTTTCATGAAAGTTAATTCAGATAGCACGCCAGAAATCACCCAATATTTATTTTAACGAAACTTAATGCTAGTTCAGATGGCACTTCAGAAATCACTCAATATTTTGTTACAGAAATGAGGATAGGTTCTATTTATAAAGGCTATATAAATTTTGTTAACAAATCAACCATATATATCTACAGTGTTCCTCGTTCAGTATTATTATTTTATCTGGTAATGTTTTGTTTTGTTTCTTATTGGATATATATAACTTGGCTGGAAATGATATAACTGATTATGCATTAAACTGTTTTTCTAGATCAAGTGGAATATTTTAAGACTAAGGTTAGTGGTAGTATAAATAGGCAAAAAATTTAAATGGTCGATAAAATTAAACATAATTATATTAATTGTATTGGTACTCCCAACAAAATCAGTGTTTAAACATTAAAACACATAATGTAAATAAATTAGCATGGGGCTCCTATACTGGTGGGGCCCCTGGGAAACTGCCCAATGCGTTAAGACGGTCCTAAAACAAATAGCGGCATATTCTAGTTTAGAGACCATCGAACCCATATGAACACATATGCATTATGATAACCAATAATAATAACGTCAATCGTTCCGTTTGATATTTTGGATGTTTATTCCATCACAATGGAGTAAGTATTACAATAAACGAAACGAAAATAATACCAAATTTTATAATATAGTGTGCTCACCGGAATGAACAGGAGCTTTCAGATTGTTCTCCACGGGGGTGACTACATCGGGATGGCTAGCTGGAGCTTGACATGTTCCATTACTAAAAACATAACTTCTAACAAATGGATCATGTGAATTGAAAACCTGCCCTGTAGGACCAACTAATTCTTTCGATATTTCGCCATCAAAGTTGCTACATAAACCACAGGTCTTGGCACGATACATCATAGAAGGCTGCGAAAAATACAATTACACTTATGTAAAGACATAACTTAACTTTAAAAGTTTAACTAAAAGAATATCCAAAGCTTATATATGTCGATATAATTTTGTTCAATTAATGAGTCGGATCTAGGAATTTTTAAAGTCTTCTTTCGGCTATTGGCGGCGTTAATCCGAATGGTAAAATGAGATGAAATGAGGTTTAACGTCCTACAGTTCTGCTCCAACTGAGCTAATGAAGACGGGCACACGCACGCCAATGTATACATCGGACCTCTATTTTTCGTCCCATCCGAACGACTATACGTTGCCCCTTGCCAGCCCCCACCCCCACATCCTACACCACTGACAAGGGGGACTCACGCCGGAAATTCCCAATAAATTTTCCTGGCCAATGCAGGGTTCGAACACGAACCAACGTCCAGCTCACTGTGCCACCGTGGCTTCACTAAGTGGAGTGGTACAAGAAAGTTTGGTTTTGCATACCTAGATAAATCAAAATAACCGAGCAAACGATTCCTCAATCTTAAGTGGGAAATGTACAATTTAACAAAATTGCACTCACCGTTACAGACAAAAAGTAACAGTCTGTTAATACAGCGACACCCAAGACTGGCATTTCTACTTTCATGAAGTACTGACCACCATAGTACACTTTCATAATCTTAATAATAGCAGCTGGTCTGACAACCACAATACAAATAAAAAAGCAGCAAAAATTATACGAATCGTTCTCATATAACAATTGCCGATATGACCAATATCAGTTTTAAACAAACGAAATAAATACAGGTAAAGATTAAGGAATAGAAGACACTAGCTACAATGTGTGTACACCTTTATTTATCTGAGCTAATCATTGCAACTATTTGAAGCCTTGTGATACTTTACGAAGGAATACACGTTTTCAGTTTCCATGTGGGATTAATCCTCGCATTCCAACGTTAGAAAATCTAGCGATCATTTCCGGAAAGCTGAATATTTTGACTTGTCTGAACTTTCCAGATATCATGAGCAGGCTATACCACCATGTGTTGGCATTTGATTTACATATTTAAACCTACTTTTTTACGGTCTCCTGTAAAATGTAGGTCTTCCCCTTTAAAGTCTCACGTAAATAGATAAGCACATCAAAAATAGTATCGCCTTTCATAGAATAATATTATATATTGTACCTGTTGTAACTTAAAGTCTTCTCTATAATAACTGGTGTTCCAACTTCTACTGGTGTAACAGCACCATTCACTTTAACTGTTGGCATTTGACCGACATTTGGTACCAACTCAATAAAATGATTCTCGGCATAGATTTCAATAACCTGAAACATAACGAGTTATTATTATCTTAAGCCCCATGCCAACTTTATCGAGGCCACTAAGGTCAAAGAATTTTACTTCCAAAATTGATATCAAATGTTAGTTTGATATCTAATATCTGTTTTTAAAAAATCAAATTGTATATACATATATTTTGAATAAACAAGGAGGTGATTAAAATTACCCCATATCTCGTGGTTGTGACAGTTAAAGAGATTAGCACATACATATACAGGTAAAAATGGTCATCCATAAATGACTAAATGAAATCCGCAAATGCAAATCCCCACCTTGGACACGTTGACAACAGCACGTGGTAATGCTGTAGTGGGTACAGTTGGTTTAGCTACAATGGCGAAGGATTTGGCTGGAGAACAATCCATGGCAACTACCACAGGGCACGTTCCAATCTTAGGCACAGCAACATAAGAATGGTCAAAAGTTCTGACCAGTGGTCCACTCCAAATACACCTACCTAAAAATACAAACGCTGATTCATTATTGTATCCATGATTATCTAAAAGTATTTGCTTGTTATACTATGACGTATAATATCAAATGAATTTATAAGAGAGTAGGCTTACCAGGTAAATGCCAGGAGGTAAGGTATCCAGCAGTTAATATTGGTGTTGAACGTATACTAACTGGAATAAGAGCTTGTACTATTGTTGGTGTTTTCAGACCAGTAAAACTAACTGCTTCATGTGGAGTAGTTAAGAAGCAGTCCAATACCTAAAATAAATGTTTAAAATATATTACTAAATTACCACTACAATTTACTACACAATCCGTAACACTGATAACTAAATCTCCAGATTGCTGTACAATAGACTATTTTTGGGTTGATGGTATAGATTATTTAGGGGATTAATGATCTTAAAATAATGAAAGTTACCCTCCAGAATGATAAAGCTGGAAATCTTATCTGGATATGTGCCATGCTCACATAATATTTCAGTACGTGGTTTATGATATTTTAGGTAATACTGGTGTTAAAAAAAAATCAAAGTTACCCTTTTATTAGCGTTGTTGAATATCATTAAAGCACTGACTGTATTGGCTGGTACAGTATTTCTTGGTGTGACCATACTTGAGAGACTTGGGTAGAATCTACCAATGAGGGCATTCTTGAATATAATAGCCAGTTTCTTCACGCCTGGACTAATGGCGGCCTTAAACACAAGGAAAATGAAAGGATATCAGTTGTTGACGGCAAACTCAAATGTGTGGTGAATTGCATAAGACATAATGTGAATTCTTGTATTTGTAAAGCAAAACCAGTGGTTACCAGGCAAGATACGCCCACATTTTGCAAGAGATGGATAGAGAACAAGTTAGGATCCGATATGCACAAATATCGACAGGAACCGATATCTTTGGGAGATAGACCTATATTTCAAGTTTCGTCAAACTCGGATAACAATTGTGACCTGTAGAGTGTCCACAATCAAATTGCGGACAGGCGGATGTCCGGGCGGACAGGGGCGACGACAATATACGTCCACATGAAAATGTGGGCGTATAAAAATTAATGCGTCATATTGGTATAATATGTCGTGATACGTGCATATTCAAATTAATGCGACCCGTCGAATCATCTTCTCTAAAATTACGAGTGCGAAGCTTATTTTTTAGCTGTACAATGAACCAACGCGTTATTTTAAATATCAGATAATTAAACTGTTGCTATACATGTATGTTATCAACGACATTAATCATCACTGGTTAGTTTAGTGTTTTTGATAATAAGTCGCTACTGCTCTCTAATCTTGTCATTCGCGGGATTTTTTGGGAGTGTCTAACGTAATACTTGCATTATATACAACTTAATTATGATATGAAATATAAAATCATTGAAGATAAGGGGGTACAACAATAAATACAAACCGGATTAGGTGATGTGGCCAAGAAATGAACGTGTCTGTATTCGTTCAATTGTATTCTGTATCTTTGGGCGTCTTCGGTAAATTCAGTTACACCCGCAGTTTGCATCAAAACCCTCTGTAAGGCTGGGTCACGTTGAAATGGGTTGATCTGTTTGATTTCTGATAGTATTTGTTCTACTGATTTACTGCCATAGATCTGTCAATAACAAACATGTTAATTAATTAAATAGTCGGCTTGACAATGGGGTTCTTTTGTTTCAGTACTTCCCAATTTTCGCATAACAAACCAAGTTACATAATTGGCCAAGTTACGTTACCACCTGAAAGTTAATGCCTTGGCTATCAATTTACATGCTGGGTTATTTGTTTCCGTTAGATATGTCGTATAAGAACTCTCCTCACTCTCACTCACAAATTGTTTACAACAAACTTTACCTTTGGCAAGGCATTACTTTAGTACAAGGTTACTGGCGTGTAGACAAGTAGGATGTATAAGCAATGGCATCATGTCTAGACCAATGGTGGTTTCTTTCATGTGTTATGCTATTCAGCGACTACCTATCGTTACGTACGGCGACATTTGTTATTGCAAATGTCTGATACAAACACATGTTATTAATTTTCATGGTAATGGTATAGTCAAATCATATTTATTTTTGTTGATTATCAAAGTAAAATTATCCATTTAAATCAACCTTAAACTTACCTTGATGGATAATACTGGAGATGCAGTAGTTGTTCCATAAGCAACGTTTATAAAACCAACTATACCCATTGGATAGGCAGAAGCCCCATGTACAGCTACAGCTAAAGGAGATATATGGGTTGATCTGTGTTTTGGCACTTCCACTTCGTATCTAGAATATAGTTCTGTAACAGATGTTAAGAAAGAAGCTATTTTGGTATTCACTGCTGGTGGTGGGGTTGGACTCATCTGTGCAGAAAGTGATTGTGCTTCTATCAAAGCATTCTTAAAATTGGTAATCAAAGCAGTAAACATGGATTCTGCGTGGGACGTAACAGCAGTGCTTCCCCATAGAGAACCAGCGTTGAGAATAGACGTCAACTCCGTAATAACAGTTTGACATTTCTGTGTTAGCTGGGAACATGTACTAGCGATATTTGATTTTGATACTGTTGGTATGCTCTTGATCATTGTATTTATTGAAGTCACGGTGTCTGTTAACTGGGAAAGTGTTGGTATAATACTCGATGAAGCAATCAGTGACGCTTTCAGCATGTGATGATTGTTGGCTTCAGTCTCGAATCTAGTAAAAAGCTGTGTAACGGAAGTTACAAAGGAAGCAATTTTGGCATTTACTGATGGTGGTGGGCTCATTTTACGGGAAAGAGTCTGTGCTTCGGTTAAAGCATTCTGAAATTTGCTAATGCAGGTGGAAAACATGGATTTAGCGTGAGGAATAATAGCAGGGGTTACCCATAGAGAACCAGCGTTCAGAATAGCAGTCATCTCTGCTATAACAGTTTCACATTTCTGTGTCAGTTGAGAACATTTTCTAGAAATACTTGGTCTAGGTGCAGCTGGAATACTCTTGATCATCCTCTCTATAGAAGAAACTGTCTCTGTTAAATGTGAAAGTTTTGGTATAATATTTACAGAAGACTCGGCTGAAGATTTCAAAATTTGGTGTTTTTGAGCCTCGTCCTCGAATCTGGAGTCTATTGTTTCAGTGGCCGCTAAAAATGACGCTATTTTGGTATTCATAGCTGGTGGTGGGGATGGGCTCATCTGTCCAGAAAGTGATTGCGCTTCTATTAAAGCATTCTTAAAATTGGTAATCAAAGCAGCAAACATAGGTTTTACATGGGGCCAAACAGCAGGACTGTTCGATAGAGAACCAGCGTTGAGAATAGACGTCAACTCCGTAACAACAGCTTGACATTTCTGTGTCAGTTGGGAACATGTACTGGAAATATCTGATTTTGATACTGTTGGTATGCTCTTGATCATTGCGTTTATCGATGAAACTGTTGCTGTTAGTTCTTCAAGTTTAGATACAATATTTACCGGCTGCATAGACGACGATACTATTGTCGGGTGATTGTTTGCCTCGGTCTGATATTGTTGACGCAATTCTCTTACTTCTTTAATACCTTCAGACACGGCATTCACACAGTCGGGTGGGAGTGGCGAAGAGTAGCTAGCTACATCTGATCTTACTTCTTCCAATATAGTAGATAGCTGGCTAATTAAAGAGGAAAACATTTCTGGGGAATGTCGAGCGGGTGCCTCACCACTCCATAAAGCTCCAGATGTTAGCACAGATCTACACTCTGAAATAACTGTCTGCAGTTTTGATGCCAGCATGGTTGCCATTTGTCGCGCCTGGTCCACTGGGGCGCTGGCCACAGCCATGACCTCTTGTTTTATGGCTTGTACCTCTTGTAAGAGTTCGCGGAGTTTCAAATCGACGGATCTCATTGGCATATCAGATAGAAGGACATGGTTTGAGTAATCCACAGTAGCTGATGTTGCATATCGACCGAGTAATTTCGTCAAGAAATAGTTGTAGTCACTCAACGTGGACAACATTCCGCTCACTTCTTGTACAGCACTTCTTTGGCCGGGTACAGTCAAAAGAGCCATCTTTAGTTTAGCCAATATAGCCTTCTGAATAATTGTAAAGCGTAGACAATCCACAACAACGGGAACACTAGGTGGGGCCATAGACGTTTTATATGCACTCTTAATAGCGCCTAGGTCAGCCATTATGGGTCTCATTAAGGCAAGAACATTGCTGGGGACATATGTACTTGGTGAACTGAATTTGGCATTTGCTAATGCGACTCTAGCGGCGAAATGTCTTTCGTAACCTTTTCCAATAATACGCCAAACAGTTTTATCAACACTATCCATAGTTGGTGTGAGATATTTAGAGTTAGAGAAACGAATTAGTAGACTACCGGTTTTAACACATATTAATCTAGTCTGTGCATCCGCTGTATATACGTTAGCATATAACTCAGATGTGAGCTGGGCAGACATTGGGCTATTCGCTGATTCAATGTATTTGAGTGGATTTGTTAGCGTCAACTTGACGAGTTGGTGTTGAATAGCAATTTGCACCAACGCAGCTATAGCAGGGATGTTAGAGACACTGCTGTCTGTAGTAGTCAACGTTTTCAACAAGGCAAAAGTAGAATGCAGAAGAGGCTTTACTGGTGCCGGATTTACAGTCGTTGCAGCACTCTCTTGAGATAAGATTGTTTTCAATGTAGCAGCTTGTTCTGTTCTTAATTTCATTATTTCAGCTGCAACCGGACTCGATGTATCAGTAAGAGGAGAAAGACCACCTTGAGAAACTAGACTACATAACTCTATTAACTCCGTCTTGTACATCGCCCACACTGATTGTGCCTTTGCTAGTAAATGCTGACCCTTGTTGAAGTCAGCAATATAGGAACCCATTTTACCAACAGATACCAATGTGTTCAGGGCTTGTTTTTGTTTTAGCATGACGTAGTGTACCAATGTGAGTTCAACTGGATTGGCCGATTTTGCCGATTTGATTCTTTGCATCTGTGTTCGGACAGCTTGTACAAGTGATTCTATTTTTTCGAAAACAACCACGATCACACCCTCGTTTGTAAAGAAATTAAATGGATCCAAAACCTTCTGTGCGGTAGCAGTTAAGAATTCGTAATTTGCACCAAGTTGTCTGAGAATTGGTAGCCATTTTCTCAACTCTGGAGCCTTAGATTCTGCAGCCATGTTAATGACGATTCTTTCAATTGTCTTTACAGGGTCCATATCAATCCTCATGCTATCCCTCAGGGATTGCGTAATGACTGTCGAATTGAGAGATGTCAACAAACCGTGGTGAGTTTTTAAACTGAGGAGGAACTTCAAATTTTGTGCTAAGGCAGCTCGGTACGATGGCTCAAACAACGTTTCGGGTAGAACGAATTTGGTAGGGTATTTGACTTCACTGTGGACTGTTATCTGCAACGAAGTGAGAATTGAAATCAACAAAAAATCACAACAGATTATACACATCCAACAACAACAACCTTATGGTCCACTCAAGAGTTATAATGTAGTCTTAATTTTATAGTATTATAGGAAAGTTTTATAGGAAATTTATAATGAATATCAATAAATACACAGATATTTGTAGACTGCTTCAGACCAAGAGACATCTATCACAAAGGGTTGGTAGATATGGGTGACGTGACGACAATATACGTCTATATGGTATTTTGGTCATAATCTTATACTTAACCTCAAAAGGTCACGTTATTTTTCATTTAGGGAAACCCGTAGGCTGGTTTATAAGTATAGGCGGGTAGGCGAAATAGAAAAAAAAACGTCGCCCACATCCCATAGATTAAAGGCGTTATCGTGCCTTTCGAGATACGGGCTATTCAAGTCCATTGTTTCCATCCAGATGTACAGGTAACGAAAATACATTCGCCGATAAAGGTATTGTTTATATGACCAATTTCGTGTTCAAAAGTCGACCGGACCGTTAAACGTTTACTTAAATTATTGCAAATTTTTTTTCTGAAAAAATATTTGAAATTCAAGCGAATTATCAATATTAACCTTACCTCCATAGCTGGTTTATTTGTGTTGGGAGCAGCTGTTCTGGCGACACGGGCAGCAAATTGTTGTACATAGCCCTTCTGTGAAGATATCCATAGTGCTTCAGCTTGCAGTTTGGCTGGAATACTTGAGTCGGCACTTTTTACCACACAAACCATACCCCATTTGGAACCCACTGCACTGAGACTGGTATTATCTCTAATCTTTTGTTGGAGTTTGATTTTGAGTTGACCCACAGATACACCAGTGGTTTTAAGGTCGGCAAAATCTGGCAATGGCAGTGTAGCTGTAATGATATATGATATTTTGTATTTGGACATTGTATTCACTGTCAGTGATTAGAGCATTAGGGTATTTTTCTTTAGTGTAAAATAATTTTACAAGAATAAAATATCCTATACCTGAGGAATTGGCGGCTGCAGATGCAGGGCCTGCTGTTTCCTGATCACCAGGCATATCACCATCCACCCAGGAACAGGCAGAGAAGAAAGACAAAATGCTGTTACAGCTACTGCTGTGTGGTGTTTTAAGAACATTCTTTGGTTCGGAAACCAGTGCAACTTGAATTTCAACAGGTTTGGCGGCAGTGGCAGTTGGAGTTGGTGTTGACCACAAATAAACCTCACTGCGTCCAAATAATGGACATGGTATGGCTGGATACGCTGTACTGACTATTGGATACTGACCATTTACTGCCGACCTAAATCCAAATGTTCCACGGGTAATATTTTTCATAAACTGTGGATAGAATATTATATATTTAAATTATAGGCACAACAACAAATCCATGTATTCATATCTATCTCAAAAATAAATACGAATATACTATACTATTGTAACGTAAAAACTAATGTTATTATGTAATTAAATAGAATCTAAAAAAAAAAAACCTTCATAAAGAATGGGATGGTTTGTACAAAACCTATAGCATAATTATTATTGCTATATTCATCTAATTCAATAGAGATCAATAAAAACTTTTAACAGATCGATTTGAATAAATCGTGGAGCAGAATTGTTTTTTTTAGATACAAATTAATTATCTCTTTAATCTTCATGATGGTTATTTTGGATATTAACTGCTTGTGACATCACCAGAGGTCAATATTGCGATATTAACCTCCATGCATATTTCAAAATTACATTCAAGAAAATCAAAATCACACAATGAATCTATTTTTGTACATTGAACAAAAAGTTTAAAGTGGAATTTGGGGCTCTGATAGTTGTCGTTTCTTGGTCAGACAGTTTTTAAAAAGTGTTTGGGTTGAAAACTGGTTTTATTTTCAGACGATTATTCATTATGTAGCACAGAACTAATTTTCTGCCTCAATTCGTCATCAGACTCCGTCGACTGTAAGTTGGAGAAGTTTATAGGGTCAGTGTGACGTGTGTTCGTAGTAAACTGCACTCACGCGTATTTTAACCTGACAACTAGAGGACTAATTAATTTTCAAGAGAAAAAATGTTTTTGTTATTAATCTTCCTTTGTTTGTTAATCTTGTAAGAAATATATTTCAAATCATTTTCCGTAGTTAATGATACAGGAAAATACAAAGAGTGCTCTTTAGAAAGTAATCTAGACAAAAAGCTTAGTTATTTAAAATGCCATTTTGGACTGGTTGGTCTTGGAAAGAATAGAATTTGGTTATGGATAGAGAAGAATTTTCGTTCAGTCTTTTTGCTAACAATGGGCTAAAAAGATGAGGAAGTGGAATCAGTAGAAAATGATGTGCAAGTAAGGTTTTATCGATTTCGATAATGATTATACCTTTTTAGTACGTCTACCTGTGGTTATATTGTTTATGGTCCGAAAGTCTGTATTCATCTTATTTTCAGGAATAGTGTGACTTAATCGTGTATACTTACAGGAACAACTCTTGCGTTGTGAGTAACGCCTATTTCCTTTTCTTCTCTTTTAAACATAACAGGGTTCGGTGATGCCGAAGTAAATTGCAGCCATGTCAGAGGAACAATTTTAACTTTCATTATCGGGGTCGCCTACAAAACCAAATATAAATTGTGACTATATAATGCAAATACAATTGTATAGTTCAACGGATGTGATCTAATGAACAAACACTCTCAAGCAATTTATATTATAACCATATTGATTCATAGATTAATGTATCTCGCATAAACAAAGACGGTCGTCGTGCGCGTGACAGAGCATGTCTACTCTTTCCACCTACATTAAACTAAATTCTCATTTTGGATTTTGATTTTCAGGTTGAATCGGCGGTAGACTAGTATATTTTATTTATAACAGCGTGCTAAATCGGTAATCGCATGGTTTCATGTTCGATCATGTGTCCTTGAATACGTGGTGGTGGTGGTGGGGGGGGGGTCACGGTGGCTAAGTGGGTAAGACGCTGGCTCGCTAACCAGATTTTCCCCGCGTAGTTCAGTGGTGCATGACGAAGGGCCGGACGAGGACAGCTATCTAGTCGTTCAGGTGATATGAAAAACCAAGGTCCGTGTACACATTAGGGTGCACGTAAAAGATCTCCTGACAGTTGAAATTCCATATAAGAGCAGGCCGTAGTGCCGCTATCCTAGCAAAATTTCCCTCATAGCACACTGTATGGCGTATGCCCGTCTTCATTAGCCCAGTTCGGAGCAGAACAGTAGGACGTTAAACCCCATGTCATTTCATTTCATTTCCTTGCATAGGTAACTTTATTCCTGTATTACAGTCCATCTAGGTGTAATTGGGTACCGGTAGGATAGTGCAAAATATGCAGAAAAATGACTTTTGAAGGAACGAGGGGTAAGAGCATCAGACGCCGGGGTAAATACATTAAAATTTCATTATTGATCCCAGGAATTACTCACCGATACAGGTGGCGTTATTGTAGCAAATATTTTTTGTTTTGTTAAATCAGCCCTGACAGTAGCAGTTACTGGCATGTTAGCGTGTTTGGTAGCACGAACTGCTACACCACTATGCATCACAAATTCTCCAATTTGCATACTCAAAAAGAATTCCATGGCATTACTGCAAAATATTCAATTATTTCAAAATATAATTTATCTCGATATACCGTTATGTGAATTTGTTATTCTGCGACAAAATGTTTTCGAGCGGAGGGTGCTTTATTTTGATTAAATTTAATTTTTTTTTTAATTTACGAGAGGTTTGTTTTTTCCTGGAAAGGTGGTTTTTCCATTGTTCGCGGTGATTCCTTGAAGTAAATCAAGACTAACTGAATAAGACTCTTTGTCTTTTGATACAAAATGACACACCTTCTGAATCATCCCTGTTTGTCCAGCACCCATGATATTTACCGTCGTCACTGCCACCCTCATCCCGATTGCCAGAGCACCACTGTCCCCACTGCTGACCTTCACGTGTACCCGGGGGGTTGGATGGCCGAATGGTTAGCACGTGCGTGCTGTATCATAAAGCCTGTCATTGAGTCAACTGGCGTGGTTTCGAATCCCCGGTTGTAAGTGACAAGGAGTAGGGTCGCCTGTCCAACCTTGTGGTTTTCTCCGGGTCCTCCGGTTTCCTCCCACTGCTAAAGACCCCTACGCGCAAACGAATTATTGAAATAAAATTAAACCATATGTTAGTCCCGAAATGACCTAGTTTGTGTCGAGTGGACGTTAAACCCCATTTCTCTCTCTCTCTTCACATGCACCCAAAATATGTAACAGTTTCTATACCTGACATGGAGGTTAGCCGTAACTTCTGCTTCCACTGGAGCTTTGCCTTTGCGGTCAGATTCGAACAGTGCAGGAGAAACTTTAGCATTGATAGAACCACGTACAATAAGGCCATTGGCAGCAGTTAACCTTAATCGCAATGGGAGTCCCATTGAAGTTGCAATCGTGTATTGCGCATCAGCCATAATATAGGCACGTCGTATATCGACAGTTTTTGCGGCATTCAAATATCCTGCCACAAAACCTGTAGCTACTTTGCCTAAAATGAAAAAAATAATAATTAAAACTTAATATGATGCGTGTGATTTGTCTCGAAAAATCCCATCCAATCTCCTGCGCTATTGGACAAACAAACACGCCTATAGTACTACGGATAAATATATTGGATAAACCTGAAATCTACTTTTTAAATGAAACACACCATGGTAAAGCATATGTTAACCACAAGTCGAAAATTACTGATTAATTTTACACCTAAATACTAAGACTTATATTTGATGTCGTATCATCAACGTTTCCTTAAGAAACACACCAAATTCACGGTATAGTTGGCTTACCAGTTGAAACTATTTGTTTCATGGTTTCTGTCAAGGGGTAGTACATCAATTCATGGTCATTAAACTTATAGTATGCATGACCAGCAGGAGCTAATTCACGTCTAGCAACAACACCAATCTATTAAACATAATAAATACATAGATAAAGAATAGCAAAGTCTAATAGTAAAGCAAAGGCACTACTACTTTGCGAAAAGAGTAAAAAATTGAGAAAATACTTATAAATATAAAAACTAAATTACCTCATCCTCCTTCTAATAAAATTATAAAAAAAGACGAAGAAACCAGTAAATTTTTCCGGGTTTAAGAGTTAAATAAACTTATAATATTAATCAATTGTAGCTGAACGTGCAATGAACGCGATGACTTTATTGTCTATCAGAAATTAAAACTTTTTTACCTTCTGGAAGAGATTTTCAATTTGAGCTTGAGGGCTAGCCCCGCTGCTTCGTCTGGCACGGGACAAAACGTCAAATAAGGATTTTCTAGATGTAAGAATGCCCTTTGGACCAAACCATTTGTCAAATATAGCCTGGAGACCCTGTGTGTTGTATCCAATCTACAAAACAAAATATTTACAAGGTTTCACATACTATGCAGTCAGGTTATACAACTTTTAGTAAAGTTAAAGAATAAAAGAAACATCCCGATGAAGAAACGTCTCCCATACGAAGTCTTAATAAATCTTACCTCAAAGAAATTGGCAGTTCTGCCCATCATGTAACCGGATAATTTAGCCGATGCAGCTTGGGGGACAATAGATGAGTTACTACCATAATAGGCAAGACTGATGGCACCGCCGAACTGGGGAGCACCTCGGGCAACTGAAAGAACATGTTAGATATACGTCAACCACTCTACGCATTTTGTTTTAAATCACAGAGATACCAAGAAATATGCAAAGTTCATTTCGCAACCAAAAATGCATCAAGGTAAGCCCATTGTTTTAACCAAACGTTCAAAAGCAATTAAAAGGGGCACTTAGGTAAAAACCTATAAGCTAAGTAGCAGTATATGTTTTTTTGATACTGCGTCTTTTGCTTTTAATTTTCTGAGCTTACTTGAGATATGTTATAGATGATATTTTGTTTCGAATGGGTGTTGTTTTTCTACTTGCGTTGCATTCGAAGCAAATGTTAAACCAAAAACTTCATTTTGATATTCTTATCATGTACAAAGATGTTTATACTTGAAATAAATATCCCGCCTTCGTTAGCACAGGCGGTGCAGAAAAGTAAGGCGTTTAACTCCATTTCATTCATTTCATTTCATTTTTAAATAAAGAGTACACACCGTAGAACTTTTCTTTGGTGTATAATCGGGAATACGTCATACCAGCACGTGGTGGAATTGCCATTGTCAAAGCATGGGCAACATTTTTAGCCCTAGAATAGAAACATTACATGATATATCTGATACAATATATGATCACACACAGACGGGAAGTCTTAACATACAATAGAGCTACAGGGGATAAAGTTTTCAAAAGCTTCGTGAAAAAAAACCCTTCCAGTTCTCTCTATAACTATACACAAAGAATACGTCTCCGACATCAAATATAAATATTACGTTACAGCTTTATAGATCCATTTGCTGTTTATATACTTACATAGCCCTCATACACGGGTTCGAACTGTTTGATACAGTTCTCATAACGGAAGCTACATAGGAAGAAAACTGAAGATCAGGTTCATACGCTAGTGTAGAAGCAATAGTCTGCCATACAGTTGCATCAGGACGGCCCATAATTAAAGCATCAAAGCATGCTAGTCTGACCACCGACTCCTCGTTTCTGTTGGTTATTACTGGCATAAGCATCATTACGACCTAACAAAAATCACAAAAATCTTTTAATTTTTTTCTAATAAAACATAATTTCATCGTACGTAAGTGGACATAACATTGTGAAGGATAGGGTGGACAAACTGTACTATCTAGGATCTGTAGCAGCCCGACAACACCTGAGTTATGAAAAAGGACACGAAAAAAAATTGGCTGAATGGAACAATGTTATTACTTTATTTGTTTATCAGAGGTAAAGATAGTTGAAATCAACGTAAAATAATCCTAACCTAGACTGGAATTAATTGGTTTCAATAACGTTTGGAAAAGAATGTGCTTCATAAATTTGCTTATGATTGTGTATGACCGCAAATTATATATGCAACCTTCATTCTGGCATAATGTGGCTTTAACTAAACGGAGAAAACGTAAATTATGTTTGATATATACTGACTTGTTCTCTTTTGTACATTGCCATTCTTCTTAGTGCGAAGGCAGCTTGAGCTCGAACAAGAGCAGGCATGGTTGGGTTGGTTATAATGGTTTTGATATCTTCAATCATAGGCATGCATCCAGCATTACCAATAGCTTTGAGAGCTAAAATTTTTTCGTCCATCACACCTTTCTGTAGAATTCCTCTTAAAAGCTGAAAATGTTTATACCAATTGTTTACTTCATATCAAAGTTATTTGATATTTAAGATTTATCGAATAGATTGCTTACTATATGATTATTTTGGTTATAACATTCACTGGGTCGAAAAACTTGAAACCTAAGTAAATGCCGACACACATTATGAATAAAACAAATTATGAAATAACATACCGAGACAACGCCTTGAATAAGGGTGTTCGACAAGGTTGCTGTCTGTGTCAGTCTTTCTTCCAGTGATTGTTTTAATGTACTTAATTCAGTCTGAACAACTTTGCTGTTCTCCATGCTTAACATGATTCTAGTGGTGTTTATCTCGTGTCTCAGTTGCTTCATATATTTGTTGGTAGTGATCTGTAGTTTCCAGGTCAAAGCGCCAATAGCCAATACAGTTGCTCGACGAAGTTTAGGGGATGACGTAGCGGTTGTTCTGGCAAGTTCCTGTATAAATAATAGGTCTGTATCACGAAATGTACATTTTAAAGGGGCTAAATCGATATTCTTTGGCAACTAGAAATGGGACACAAATGGGTTTCAACGCCTATAACAATATAATATGAATGCATATAAACTGATTTCCATTCAATCGTTTCTGCTTTTACTGTAATTTCTGATAAGTTATGTTCGGCGAAATACCCGGTAATCTTCCCTTGTATGATATGTTTAGCCTCGTTCATCGAGTCGCTTTTGACACGCGATTCGTGTGCCAAGTTTAAAATCTTCACTGTGTCATAAATATGCACACCAGAAAGCCCATCTTTTCACGATAAGATAACAACATCAGTGTTGTTTTAAATTAAGCAATAAGTCGTGTTTGTAATGTCGAAGACTGTGGATGATACTGAGTTAAAGACCTGGCTGCTTTACTGTTATTAATTTCGGAATTACTTTTATTCATGTACAAATCTCACATTAACAGATAAATTATCTTTTATTATTATTGTTAAACTGAGAATTGCTCACCATCAACATCTTCATAACGTGAACATTGGGTTCAACAGAAACGACCAGTGCGCCTATAATATAAGGGCTTTTAGCTGGTGGAAGAAGAGCTATGTTCTGGATGAGTATTCTTGCTACAGGGGCGGTACCAACAACAGGTAAAACTTTTAATAGTACAGCCCTGAAATATACCATCATAAACGGTAATAGAGGTAATTATATACAGGATCCTAGAAAAACAGAAGGCTGATGTTTGTTGAGATCTTACGAGATCCGTTTACCATGTAATTCTTTACTAAATTTGACCCCGGGTATCCATATTAACGAAGCAAATATCATTGTAAAATACTATTTCGTAATATTTTTTAGTCCAAAATAACGAGGTCCGAAAAAAAAATTATCTAGATCTATTGATCTAAATTGAGTACCTTAAATCGTCTCTGTTCCATACAATGAGGACATAATTTAAACCTTTATCTTAGAATTTGAACTGTACCTGATATTTTTAGCTGTTTGGTCAGTGGGTTTAGTTGGCGTCATATAAGTTTTAATTATTTCTTCTATTACAACTGGCTCGGTATTTCTCAACGCATCTATACACTGGGTTATAAATCGCATAGCTTCTGGTGTCAAAGTATCGCCCATGTATTCAGCTGCAGCTTTCAGTACGGCCACAACCTAGAGATAATGACAACTTAATAATGCTTTGATATATAAACACAAAATATCCACTCGACTCTAATCAGCAACTCTTCGAGATTGTTCCAGTTTAACTAAGGGCGAATTTAATTCATCTCATCCCGATTTACAGAAAAAAGAGTTGTATAAGAAGTTTAAAGGGCAGTTGAATATGTTTACATTTTTATACAACAAAGGCTGTTTTCCAGTTCAAATCTCCCTTCCTAACATGGCGCAAGTGATGCATGTAATACTGTTCATTTTGTAGTGTACCCCTAAACACTTTAGGGAAGGGACACACCATAAACATTTTGTAATAACAAAGGCAAGAATTCTAACTTATGTGCTTTCTATAGTACTATTGAAGTAATTTACCGTAGCTTTGCTGTAAGTTGCATGACCAGCTCGACTAATTGGAGCTCTTGTTTCGTTGCTGAATGGATGAATAGGGGCAATGGCCATTTCGGGAACGAACGTTGTCAAACTACGTTTTATTGGTGAAGGAATTGCTGGAATTGGTCGTGTTGCTGAAATGTCCATGGCGTTCAACAAGGTAATTGTTTGGCTAAAATATAAGATATCCAAAAATATAAGATCGGCAGAAGCCACCCACCTCCTCTAATACCCTATAAAACTTATCACCCTGGGGTCGCTTTTGCAGGACAGACAAGAAATGTGTCGCCATCGTCGTTCGAATGGCATTCGTGTACACACTGGTATGTACCATTGATAGTTGGATTTCAAAGAGACGGCGGCAACGCCATAGTTCTCGTCTCCATATTGTACGTGTCCATTGTAAATAACATCAGCCTGGCCCCGAGTTCACAAAGCATTCTCAGACTTAAGTTTAGAATTTACTCAACTTCCAATCTCTGTTTATGAGAAATATCTTTGATCCAGAAACACAAAACTTTGCACATAGTTTCTTATTGATGTATTTAACAAATTAAAACAACAAACATTTTATAACGGGTTATATTTTAGTTAAATTAAGATAAACAATTTTGAGTAAATTCTCAACTTATTATTATATTGTTTCTGTTAATTAGAATGGTCTAAATTCTGTAAACAAGGCAAACTCCATATACATATAGATGTAACAGAAATGGTATCTTACTTGGTCGACATTTGAATTTGCCCTTCAGGTCCGGAGATTCCAAAAAGGGTGTACTTGCTTTCTGCTACAGCACTGCTGATGAGAAATTTGGTTTTATCTCCAACTATCGCATATCTTACTTGACTAGCTACCGTCATTCTTTCTTCCTGAACAATATAACACAAATGATAATTAAACAGCAAACAATTTCATTATTTACGTTTAACAACATTAAGGGTTAAAATGTATTGTTTAGATACTTATACTTACAGGATTAAAAGAAAAATTAAAGTTTAAATAAGGTCATGACATCAATGTCATCGGCTGCGGGTCAAATACAATTCAGGTGTTCTTAGTCAGTCTCAATGGCGAGAGGACGGTGGTGTGAAATTAACAAAAACAACTTTGAACTTCAAATATATATTACAATAACAATGAAAAAAACCTGACAGAAACATAACTTAATCGCTTCTCCAACATCACAATAACCATAGACAAAAGCTTTGGAAAGAGTCAGACATTTCGGACTAACTTGTGTCCATTTATTCATAGATTGTAACCTTACCCTTTCCTCTTCACAAGCAAAACAACTATGGCCTTCTACAGTGTTCTTGTACCATGAAGGGTGGTCAATGGCATTGGTGTAGTTACGAACTTTGATAACATTGTAGGCATTAGGTATTCTATCTTCTGGGATAACAGTGTAAACGGTTTCTGTTAGACCAGATGGTGTTGGCTGAAATGTAAATATGGCATATTTTGTTAAAGTTAAAAATTATCACAGTAATCTAATCAGAGCCAACAATATACAAAGTATTGAGGGGAAAAAATGATAAAAGCTACGAAAAAATCTCGGTGCTAATTATGTTATTCTTATGCATAATTTTTAAAAATAATTATACATTGACGTGTGCATATTTAATAGTTCTAATTCATTTCAGAATATTGCTAAATTAAAACAGATTCTTCCTTAGTTAAATCATATTTAAAGCTGTCCTTACATCCATACACGTATAGGTGACACCAGTAGCAAAGTTTGCAGTTGAGCTTGATCGGTTGGTTTCCATAGAAAACCTTTGCTCCAAGTTGACTTCGAACAACGCCACCAAACCTCTCTTTACATTAACCGACCAATGGGGATCTGTACTGGCTGTTTCAAAGTTTGTAACATGCCCAGAGATATAGCTGAAACATGTACATTACAACATTATCAAGTAAATATACTAAAGGAGTATCGTGATTAATGTTATCGTTACTATTATTTTGCGTCATTTTTAATACTGGTCACCATATTGTCATAATGCCAGACACGCGGGTTGCACACTTAACATCATAGAAACAAATCTGGGATAAAGAAATACTAAATCATTAGAAGTTCGGAAAGTATGATCTTCTGCCTTTTTACTTTGAATCGGCGATCCACAGAATCAAAGGTTGATACGTGTACTTAAAATTTTCTGAAGATCAGTGGTGAGTATTAATAGGTAACGGAAATAATGAAGATGGTTGAAAATATACAACGAATTCTTCAGATGTTGAATCTTACAACTCACAACAACGACGTTACCCTTTTTACAAGCAATAGCCTACATGTACCAGCATCAGATGATCAGAGTAGAATATATATAACCGACTCGATAATAGATATTTGGGTCGTATAACTGTAAGAACAAATAAACAAATATGCTTACTCAAACGTTATTGGCTTAATGAGTTCTTGAACAATTGTAGTTAGTTCAGGTCCCACTACAGGAGCCATTGTTCTAGATGGTATTATTCTGTTGGTTGGGTTCATTCTTTCAGTTTCTTCATTGAATTTCAAAAGAACCACATTCTCCAACTGAAATTAACAAAAAGGGAATGTTCATTTATCGGTAGAATAATTGTTCGATAATCGTATAATTCCTATTTCGTGTCAAAGAAAAAGACAATGAAGACTGATCTATGGGTTCAATCTGATAACACACTCTTCTTATTAGTTTGGAATATAAATGGATTGAAATCGGTGTACGACAACCACTCTTTTATAAACAGTTTAACAAATTATGATATTGTGCTACTAAGTGAGACGTGGTTGAAAGGGGACGAACCAATTTTTATTGCTAATTTTTCAAATGTTAGTTTTGTAAATAGAAGTGAATTATACAGCCGCGGTAAATGCAACTACTTTTCAGTCGAATCAGAACACGAATGGAGCGCATGTGTAATATTTATATAATATTCGTGTACATTCCCCCTGAAAAAGTATGTTCCATAATTTCTGTAATTTTGACATTTTTATTGAAATTGAACAGTTATATTTCCAATGTTCAGATCTAGGTGGAGCAACATTCGTATGTGGGGATCTGAATAGCAGAACCCGGTCCGACCCCAAATATATAATTAACGATAATATGGATCAATACATCGTGTCACTAAACACTGATTTTAATGATGATGATAAGGGTCTGGAAATAAATATTTGAAAAATCAAAATGAACTGAACAGAAAGCTTTTTACCTTGCGGAGGTCTGAATTAAACAAAGGGGGGGGGGGCGACAGCTAAGTGGGTAAGACGCTAGCTCGCTAGCCTGGAGGTCGGTTGTTCGATCCCTGCATTGGCCGAGAAAGTTCATCCAGATTTTCCGGCGTGGTTCCCCCTTGTCAGTGATGCAGGACGGAGGGCCTGACATGGACAGCTGTCTAGTCGTTCGGATGGGACGAAAAAACCGAGGTCCCGTGTACACATTGGCGTGCACGTAAAAGATCCCTTGGCAGTTGTAATTCGATATAAGATTAAGTCGTAGTGCCGCTGTCCGGGCAAAATTTCCCTCATAGCACACTGTATGGTCGTATGCCCGTCTTCATTAGCCCAGTATGGAGAAGAACAGTAGGACGTTAAACCTCATTTCATTTCATTAAACAAAGAAAAGCGTAAAGCCAAAGTTAAATTTAGTAAGACGGTGGGGTACCGTTTGTGTGTATTGTCAAAGAATAAATAATCTTGATACAGAACCGCTTCCTTATTTAATCGATAATAATTCATGTGGAACTTTTAGATACACCATTAAAAGAAGACACAATCAGGGCTTAAAGCGTAATAAATGTAGAGATATGTAGCGAGTTTTTAATAGAATGCATTGATTTATTTTCCCCACAGTTGGTAAAAATATTTAACTGCGTCTATGATAGTGGGTGCTATCCTAAATGTTGGCACAATTGCTTACTAATGCCCGTTCCAAAAAAGGGTGACTTGAAGAGACCCAAAGATTTTAAAGGCATACCCATTACGTCTATATTTTCTAAACTATTTTCCACTATTCTAAATCATAGGTTATACAATTGGTGCGAAACTAATGAGATTGGCTTTAGGGAGGATAAGGGTACTGTCGACGCACTTTATATTCTTTGTGGCCTTATACGTCATTCTTTAGACAATCAACAGAAATTATTCTTAGCTTTTATCGATTTACGTAAGGCGTTTGATAAAGTCCATAGCTCGTACTACTATTAAAACTTGATTCATTATGTGTTAACTGTACATGTAAGTTCATCATTATAATATCCTCTATATATAACCAAGTCAATAGTTTAGTCAGATTCAAAAACACTCAATCGGAGAGATTCGAAAGTTACACGGGCGTTAGGCAAGGTGAGCCCTTATCCCCCGTACTTTTCCTATTATTCATTAACGATTTAAGAGTTTATGTGCTTGATTAGACACTTATCGAATAACCTTGGATTTCCTGAATTTTGGCATAAACCAAAATGAATCTATCTCTTATTAAACTCCGCATCCAAGACAATTTAAACAAAATGACTATCTTCCTTGGAAAATTCGAGTAAGCTGCGTTTTTTTTAATTGTTCAAAACTGTACATGAACATGAAATATACCTAAATTCATCTATAGTGTCTATAGATAACAAATATCAAAATATAATATTTCAGTTTCGATGTGGTATGCTCAAAACTGAACGTTGAAATTGGGCATTATACAAGAACGGATCGTGAAAATAGAATTTGTACATGCTGCACAACGAACGCCGTTGAAGACGAATGCCTCGTTCTCCTCTAGTTGCCCAGCATATATAAGCTTATGTCGCAAGTTCTTTCATCGTAGATTTTGGTCCTTTCCTTCTTTACATAAATTCAAAAATATTTTAAAGAACACCAAACGTAGATGTATTATCAATTTAGGAAAATATCTATACCAAAGTATGAAATTACGCAAGAAATTATTAAACACCCAAAAATGAAACAAAAAACCTATTTGGAACATATTTGTATACCTTTGTATTATCTTCGTGAGATGTATATATATATATTAAAACTACTTTATATACATATATATTTTATTTTCTAATTATTTATTTACTTTTTCCTATTATCATTATGTTCCTTATATTCCTTATCTGTTGTGCAATAATCACCATAATATATATTTTATGTACTATGTTGGCTATAGCACGGACATTAAGAACTCAAAGGGAAGCGAGATTATCTCGAAAAATAAAATGGGGTTTAACGTCCTACTTTTCTCTTCCAACCGTGATAATGTATGGAGGTTATATTGCATGGACAACAACTGAATTCCAGCTGTCAAATGTTCCTTTACGTGCACGTCAAGTTGTACGTCCTACTCGAACGACTAGACATATTAACTCTAAATAAGATATTAATAAAGTGGAACTATAACGGTATGTAACATAAACATAAACTATATCTGTAACGTGTAACTGTCGTTTTGGGTGAACCTTGGCAAGATTGATACTCAATGTTAAATGAAACCTGTTTGGTGCAATATTTAAAATAACTGTATACGTAATAATCACAAATCTTACCTTTGCCTTGACTCGAGAAGCCGTTACAAACTGAGCTCTTACGAGAGCTTTTATTTTAATAGCCGAATATACCGAGGAAAGGCCTGGTAGGCCTGAAGTAACCTGAGTCTGGTAGAGGTATACATATTCTCTCTGAGGTCTGAACGCTGTAAATTAAAATTAAATAATGTTTAAAAATTTGAAATCTATCAATACCTTCAAGAAGAAGTCTTTGTTATCGTAGATATTGTTTTTAGTATGAAGTCAAAAACAAAATCGACATGACTCGGCTATTTGCCTTGTGCGGAGGTTACACTTATAATTTCTCACAAAATTTTGACAAAGGTCATAACGTCAGATTAACGAATTCCCGCTGTCGGAATGTCATTGATTAATAAATATTCTCATACGCTCGTCATTTCGCCGATATAGATTCTTCAGCTTCGCAATTTATATTAAAAGGTAGCATGTAGAACAACTGTTTTCGATTCTTAACTTTGTCCAAATTGTCCAATTCATTTCCTATCCTTTTTATTGTCCGGCGGTAGGGTAGATGTTGAACTACTTTGTATAGTCGGTTTAACATTACGAATCATTATGGTGCAAGCAAGAGAATGTCTCAAAATCTCATTTGTTAAATGGCGACAAAACATGTTGACAATGATCACAAATTCAGTCAATCGCTACTCACCCTTTTCTTCTATTTTGGCACCTGTAAAAAATAAGAGAAGAAATAGATATCATTTACGATATTTATGAACAATTCCGGTTATAAAAAAAACTCTTCTTACAATTTCAAAAATATAAGAAAAATGGTATTTTTCAACAGTAGATTAAATATCTGATAACTTGACTTTATACCACCAAAAAACATACTTCGGTGATTTCTGGTCAGTTTTAGCCTTTGAAAGTTGGAGAAATAAAAAATAAAGGAACGTTTGATTACAGAGTTGTTGTATCTCAAATGAGGGATCTTTAATATGTTTAGAAACTAAGAAATTTTACTAAACGTTGGTAAGCGATGACAAAAAGTAGCTGAACCCCCGACTTTCCTTTTTGAAAAAGTCGGTGCATTTACATGTACAGTAAAATCTCTATTAAGCAGCCACTCAAGGGAATTTTCATGACTGGCTGCTTAACGGGAGTGACCTCTCAATAAAATCTGATTGTTTGTTAGTGCTGACATCAAGTAAATTTTATGCTTGGATGTATTAGGAGCAAACATCAATAGTTTCGTTTTTGAAAGAGATTGCTGAACGAAAACTCAGATATACCTCAAGAGACGTAAAATTTATAATGTAAAGGCGAAACCATCTGACAAATCAAATAAATTTCTTTTAATTGACACTTTAATTGTAGAATAGGGATCCAATAGTGGCTTTGTTGCACTTTTATTTCATATATGTGCTGAATGGTCAATGTTACTGACATTGTATGTCAAAACAATATCAAATTCAATGATATATTTGTCTGTTTCACATTTTGTACGGTAATGACTCTACCCTGAGTAAACGTTCACTCAACACTAAGTAGGTCATTCCGATTATATAATTTCAGTAATTCGCAAATTTTAAATAGACTTTTGAATATTCAATAAGTCACTCGTGCAATTTTTGTTTGATTTGAACCATGTAGATTTTCTTATATTGAATTTACCTTGCATTGAAGAACTAAATGTCCGCAATTCCCAACAATCCCACATTAGAACAGATTCACCGAGTTATTACGAAATTAGAGATTTAGATATAATAATGGACGAAAAAATAAGGGGAGAATGTCGAACCAACTGGGCATTTTATCGGACTATTGGTCTGTCTTGGTTTTTCGTCAAGTTTCGGGAATAAAAAGTTATAGGACAATTTAACATTACGGACAAGGTAATAAAAACAATATCAAAACATAAAGAATGATCTGCACATCAAGTAACTATATTGAAAAACTAAATGTCCTGCAAATTCCCAACAATCCCACATTAGAACAGATTCACCGAGTTATTACGAAATTAGAGATTTAGATATAATAATGGACGAAAAAATAAGGGGAGGATGTCGAACCATCTGGCCATTTTATCTGACTATTGGTCTGTCTTGATTTGTCGTCAAGTTCGGGAATAAAAAGTTATAGGACAATAATTTGTTTAACATTACGGACAAAGTAATAAAAACAATATCAAAACGTAAGGAATGATCCGCACATCAAGTAACTATATTTAATGAAAATCTAATTGGTGCAGAAATGGCTATCTAAACATTACGTTTTCGGTTTTGATTCAAAACATGAATTGCACAATTCCAATTTCAAAATGCAAAGAAAAATGAAAACTTACCGGCAAACCCAATGGCCAAATACAGAAGAAACAAACCACTCGTCATGATTGCTGGTCTGTTCAACTGCTTCTGGATAGAAACTGTCTGCTTTATAAATGCTTTGAGTTGACATTAGGGTTCATGTGATTTCAGTCATCAGCATTAGATCGACCTGATTTAATTTTCAAAATTAAAATCATGACAGGTTAACACGCTAACTCATGTCACACCTATTCACTTAATGTTTAAATAGTTTGATTGGCATCTTACGTCAAATATTATAGTACATGTATGTACAAAGATTTTTTAAAAACATACATTTTGAAGGACTTGAACCAACCTAAAGTACGATGCACTGAAATCGGTGAAAATTGTTGTGACAGTTTGACAGACAAACGGTACATGTATTGCAATGTATGGCACTACATATTGTCCATTCTGGTTATTTTTGTCAAATTGATTAAGTTAAGTTAAAACTGTTTTGAACGCCCAAATTATGTCACCTGTAATTTTTAAGAACGGTATTAAAAACAAGTCACCAGATTTTAATACCGATTTTCCGGCAAGGAGTGTAGTCCAGTTTACCCAAATCCAATAATATTTCATTCAACTCGTATTTCAATAATTACTACTATATGTTGTTCTTTGAACATTTATGGTACCAAATGCTATTTTTCATTATCAATTAGAGCCTTTTTGAGCCAAAATCTGATTCCCATGCTCAGGAGCCGGGAGGAAGGAACTTAATCCTATTATGCTTTTGCATCTATTATTACATTGTTTGTCAGTCTAAATACTTGATATCTGAATAATGATATAGACATACACAACCCTAAATATAATTACGATAATAAAAAATAAATCTGTACTATATATAAACGACCAAGGAACAAGAAATTAATTTCTGCGTATTTACACGACATTCAATCCACGAAATAAATAGTTTTAACTGCTATCCGAATGTTTAAACTACACCAACATCAATTTACATCATTTGTTCATACAAAAAACCATAAAATTGGCTGTCATACACTTCACTAATTCAGTTTTCCTGAAAATAAAAAAATATGTGAAGTTTGTTTCCTTCTTTCTTCGGATGTACGTTAAAGGCTCTGAACGTCATTTAAATGTTAAATAATCAATTTGGGTATGGATTAAATAATCAATTCTTGTAGATTTTAGTGTGGATTAGGTCGTGGGAAATTTGTTATTTTCTGGAAAAAAGTAATTAAGACTTTAAATAGTTGCTAACTGGTGTTAAAATGAAGTTTCGAAACTATACACTCTGTTAAGAGTCACGGTTAGTTGTAGTTTTTAAAATCTTATAATGGCACATCCTTAGTTGAGACTCTTCTAAAGGGTTTAATAGTGGTAAAAAGAACTTTGTTCTTAGAGAAACTAAATTGGTTGGGGACTGTAAATGTAGATTTATTTAGACGGGTGTCTGGCTGTCTGCTAGTCGAGATCTACATGGGGGCACTGCCTTGTTAACTTGTTTTTGTCATTGGATGGGTAGAGGCGGGGGCCAGGGAGAGGCATCACAAGCGATTGTTTTATCGGTGCTGGGTAAGAGATACTTAAGATCCGTTTATGTCCTTAATATATTTTGTACCCAACAATAGGGTACTAAAAGAGAAATTATCTTTTCAAGAATTAACCGTAGCTTTTGCTTGGTCACACCCCCAATTTCAGTTCTTCTGATCCAAACAATAGATGGGTTATTTGTGGCTGTGGAAACTGAAATCATTGATATGGGTAGAGCGGCAGTAGAGCCATGTTGTTTTGACAGAACAGATCAAAAGTGGTCGGTTATGTTAGAGTTCGAGTTTAAAGGAGCTAAATCGCCATTCTTTGACAACTAGAAATGGGCACAAATGGGAAGCAACGAATATAATAATGTAATATGAATGTATATAAACTGATTTACATTCAATCGTTTCTGTTTTTACTGTAATTTGTAATCGGTTATGTTTGGTGAAATACGCAGAGTCCAAATTGAATGGCAGTCTTTGGCGTCTGGTTACACTGGTTACTATTTAGTATTCTCTTGTTGGATATGTTTAACCTCATTCATCAAGTCGCTTCATTACAAATGGCGCTCAGAAGCCATCTTTTCACGGTATGGTCACAACATCAATGTTGATTTAAATGGACAAAATATTCTTGTTTTCACTGTCGAAGACTTTTTGGATGATATTGAGTTAGCGACTTGTATCCTTTAACTAGTTTGATTTTTTACGTTGAGCAAAATCTTGTCCCGAAATTGTACCGGATTCGTGATTCAAAATCTGAAATATTTACCCATTTTTTGATAGTACTGTCTTATCAAAATAATTAAATTTTATGGGTGCATTTACGCCAATAAATTGATGCAGATCGAATATGTTGTTACAATTTTATCAGAATTTTTTTTTTTTTTTTTTAAAGCAAACGGGAGCAAGTGACATTATGCATTTCGTAAAAAATGTCAAAATTCATACCGTTACGAAAGTAGTTCGTGTTTATCTGATAAATATGACCAGAAATTGTGCCAAGTTCAACGATTTTTATTTTTTATATGTTTCTTAAATTCTTCTGCCGAATTGAGTCTTCGGGTCGGTTATAAATCGTACCAGATATATTCTGCCTAACATCAAGCTATGTCATTAAACAAGAAGCCGTAACTACACTGTTAGAAATATGTGTAATTAAAAACTATACGCAGTGTTAATTAAGAGTAAATTTTACACCACAGCTAGCGTATTTAAAGTGTAACACCTTTGCATGGGTAACCATCTAAAAGAGCTACGCCCAAAAGTGCAAGAGATATTCATGACCACTGAACACCTGCATGGGTGTAATTGTGTGGTTTTTGGATAAGCTACACTACTACCAGCGTTATACTGCATTTACATCATGACAAGGAGTAGGGTCGCCTGTCCTACCTCGTGGGTTTTCTCCGGGTCCTCCGGTTTCCTCCCACTACTAAAGACCCCTACGCGCAAGCGAAGTATTCAAATAAAATTGAACCATATGTTAGTCCCGAAATGACCTAGTTTGTGTCGAGTGGACGTTAACACCTCACCCCCCATTTCTCTGTCGCATTTACACCAAAGGGTGTGACTATTAATGTGTAATATATCCTACAACAGTGTTAATTTTACACCATTTATTGGGTTGCAAAAGTGTAATCGATATTCATGAGGATAAGTGTAATTGTAGCCGCTAAAGGGTGTTTGGGATGAGCTCCACCTCTACAAGCGTTTTAATGCATTTACACCAAAAGGTGTAATTATTTTTAGGGAAACATTCCTCCGAATAAGGTGTCAATTTTACACCGTATCTTGCGTTACTAAAGTGTTTGTGTACTCCAATTTGCGTGTTTTCTAAAATACAGCGTTCATTGCATTAGTAACACGGGTATAACCCATTTTAGAGTGTTTACTCGTAACGAATATAAGTCTTCCAGAATATTATCATGTATTTTTCATAACGCCTCAAGTATAGATTATGTTAGCTTGTTTAAACTTAAAGACGTGTAAATGTTCCAAAATATTACTATGTCTTAATTAATTATTCTTAATTCAGATGAGGTGCATAAATGAATAAACCACATTATTCAACTAAGTTGTAAGGATATGTGTATTGATTTTTCCTCGTGATTATATTCATTGTAAATCAATGATACTGCTTGTCTAATTGCCCAAGAGCAGTTGAATTTGAATCAGTCTGATTGACATTTGTCAATTTAATGTAGTTGTAAAATGAATCGAATTAGCCGACGGTCTATATGTAATCTGGGTCGGGCTAAACGCCCTATACATCTACTAATTACTATTGAGGCCTCTAGTCAATTTCAAGTTTTTTGAACTTAGAAGTCTTTGGCTTGAAATAAATATCCAACCTACAATGTTCTACAGCAGTGTTTTCAGCAAAACAAATTACGCCCACTTTGGAGTAATAATTAAAATGGAGGTGTAATTTACAATACATCCTTGAGGGGTAATGCTTAATCTATGTGTAACATTACACGGTCTGAGCACAACTACAACACTCATCCAATGTAGTGTATCAGGCAGGTTACACTACTGGAAGTGGCGACTAGTTTCTACCTGAATAGGTGTAATGTCCACACTAGTTGGGTATTATCAGTTTACAGCACTAAAGGTTAGGATTTAACCCAATTTTAGGTGGCAACTAGTTTTATTATTTTTAACAGTGTATACTGCCTGCGACTAGAGAAATGAAATGGGGTTTAACTACCATTTTTCTGCTCCATCTGGGCTAATGTAGACGCACATACATCAGGCAGTGTGCTATGAGGGAAATTTTGCCCGAAAAGCGACGAAACGGCCTACTCAGATTTCGAATTCCAACTGTCCAGGGTTCTTTTACGTACAAACAAACGCGCACCCAGGACCTCGAGTTCTGCGACTAGAGGGTAAGTATAACACCATACTTGATCATCAAAATTCCTCTTCCTCGCACTGCACACGCAACCACAAACATCTCCTTTAGTCCGAACATGGCTTGTCAAAACCCCATGTCCAATACAGACCATAAAAAGAACAGCGACATGGCACTACTGTATCCATCCTCGACATTCCCAGTCTCATTCCATTTCGCTCCACAGGTGAAACCACTGGCACTGGGGATACCGAGGGTGTACTGTATTGAAATATATGACAACCAACGTCCAACAAGGTGTTGTAACACTGATTAGCTGTTTTTTATTGGAAGAAACTTAACATAGGCATAGTGTAATAAACTATAAGCAACACTATAAGAACAATTACTAATATAAGTGTGTATAAAAGTCCGTAGTAATATTAAATTATGAACTGACCGAGGACATTATTATTATATTTGGAGAAGATCAACTTCATTACGCCGAGGTATTACGACATATAAGACCCACTGAAATCCACATGAAAAAATAAATTTCCGATCAGTTTTTGGCCGACATATGAATAATTTATAAAATCACAGAGCTTTGAAAAGTACAGTCAACAAAATATTAATTTCTTCTAATCTGTCATATCTTTGTATAATATTTGAAGAGCCTGTTTGAACTCTTGTAGTTCAGTTTCAACTCGGGATATTCGGTCGATAACTCCAAATAGTTCTTGCAGTTTATCTTGTACTTCTTTTCCTTGGGTTTCATACACTTGGAATAGATGCTGTTCTATTGACTTACACATCTTCTCATTCTGAAAAATACGACAATTTTTTTAAAAATTTCTGACTAATGTTATAGCATTTTGTTTTTTCGTGCATATCTTTAAGAAATCAGATGGGTCAAGAGAATTCAAGAAATTCGTCGTCATTTTAATGATATGTTCTTTGAAGTAGGTAGTTTCTCAAAATTTATGTGTGTATTAATTGATCTCGTAGAAAAAGCTTTTAAAATCAAGAATCGGAACAGTTATCGTTATTTACAACCCGGCCGTCACCATCGCAGATCAAGTCCCCTGTCCAAAATTTCGAATGCACTTTTTGGAATTATCTTCTCATCTTCATACTGGGACATGAAATAAAATGTATATCGAAATTCGGATTTTGCGAGCTTAAATAGTAGAGTTATCTTTCTGGTTACGTTTTGACTTTAAAGCGTGTGATCCCAGGGGCGGATCCAAAAGGGGGGTTGGGGGGGGGGACACATAAATTATTTTGTAAAACAACCTTTTTTATGAGAAAAGTGTCACAATTTTGCTTTATCCTTTATCGTCAATTAATGGTGCGACAGGATGGGCACTCAAAGCGCGAGATAATGATATAGACATATGTGATATCACAATCGTATTAATTCATTATAAAAATTGACATCAAACAGGATGTTGGATTTCTCTGTTTAAAAAGCTCAATGTATATACGCCAAAATGACGATAGAGACCATGTATTTCTCCAAAAAATTTCAAACAGGTGGGTGGGGAGGGAATACATTTTCTCAGGAACCTGGCAAACCCCCTCCTGCAAACATTCCTGGATCCGCCCCTGGAACCCGATAAAGGACATTGATGTTGATGTAATTTGCGATTTTCGCTTTAAAGATTTATACCGAGGAGTTCCAAATATTTTCCGTTCTTCTTAACGTTCATCAAGTGAATCCAGTTTCAACGTAAAGTTTCAGCATCTTCTGCTATTGTGGCTTTTAGTCCATTTATTCGTATAGTCCATTTAACGTGGTCATATAGGTCTTATTAGAAACAACGAATTTATTACAAAAACAGATGATTACCTGGGCTTCTAAAGCCTTTTTAATATTACTAAGTAACTGTGTATCTTGTTTTCTCTTAGCGTTAAGATCATCTATTATCTGCTGGGCACTTTGTGTCAAGGAATTTTTTGTAACATCCGGGGATATTAATATTTTACCAGGCAGTTCATCCACCGAAACATTCAATGAATTGGAATTTTCAGTAGTAAATATAGATGTTTCACTGTGTAAGCTGGAAAAGGTATACATGGTATATAGCGATTTTAATTTGAAATAAAGGCGGGGTAATTACAATAGCGTTACCTCCTTAAAAAGTGACATACAGAGATTACAGTAATAACCAACAAATGCCTGATACAATGCGAAAACATAATTCTTTTAATAATAGGCTACTACTAGTTTTTTTGGGTTTTTTTAAAAAACAAAAAAAGAACGAACATGCTAATTTGATCAAAATACATTTATAATTGCTTCATAGTCACATCAAAAATACGTGAACTGTTAGTGTTAACCAAAACGGGAAAACTACATGGTGAAATGTTCCTGAACCTTTTTTCAGTTCAAAATACCTGACAGGAACACCGCCTTGGCCCGAACTAACTACGTTACTTTGCATACGCTATTATGTACCTATCCATTTGCTGAGAAATAATCTCGTCGCCGGGGTGTTGCTGTATAACAATGTCACTTATGTTGTTATTGTTCGAATTTTCGTTATAATGTTTAGTCTGTTGAGATTGTTGGTTTTCGCCAGTAATATCTGCTAGTTGATTATCATCCATGTCGTTACGTTTTCTTTACACAGGTCTACTTTAAACGTCACCTGGAAATAAAGAAATGATACCGGTATTGAATTTTGCTAGGCGTAAAAAAAAAAAGCAATTTGAATATTTTCATGAAATCAAAACAGCCTAAAAGATATACGTTATGGTCCGATTTCAAATTTAGATGTTAATCCTTATTACTAGCCGAACAATATCAGCGTTTCATTGAAAACAAACTTTTTTTCAAAGGGTTCAGCGATCTTAGAAAGTTAGACTAGTTGGAGCCGGGCAAATAAGGGACAAGAATTATCAATCTCTGTGTTATTGTTAAACAACAAATACTTGTTACAAGATAGGTTGTATAAGTTTAGAGACAAATACCACTATCATGCTATCCAAAGAAAGAAAACAGTTCTTTCTATATTTATATGAGATATATAAATGGTGAAAGTTTGGAAGAAATTTTCATGAAGGTTTATAAATATCAAATGCCCAAATGGTTTCTGAGACATGCTGTGGAATAATAAATTATTATAAAAGAAAAACGTGTTGCCAATGGCAATTGCCGAAACAAAAAAATATTCAGAAAAGAGGCCTATATACGATATGCCTGTGTTACCACAATAATTTCTAATTTACTGGGTTACTAGAAACCAAATGTAAAATACACATGTAGGCTATCACTCAGTGACCTTTCTTACGTCATAATAACAAAGGAAGAAAACTTTTTAATTCCACAAGGACAATTCACCGAGTTTTGCAATCATGTTGTTCATTTCTGTATGTCCATTACCTATACTATGTGAAGCTAATATTAATTTCCGGCGTTTTAAATTATTAACAAATAAAATCATTGCATACTTAAAACATATGACACAGCCTATGTCTTTAAATTTAAAGCTACAACCCAAATAGGCCTAGTAAAAATTATTTGTGGTTATACCGGTAAAAAAATATGTCGTGTTCAAAATATACGTCTTTTACCGTGGAATTCCCCAATGTTTATTTGTGTAAACAGTTTCATTAAGATATATCTGAAACAGCTTAGTGTGATATGTTTAAATGTCCTGGCAGGAATAGAAATATAGATTCGATCTATGAATAGGCAAAAAAAAAAAAGAAAAAAAATGTATATCTAAATCAGAGAAATCTCTAATGACTGTAATTTACTAGGCCTAATAGCAAAAGGCACGAAGGACAGTCGGATAGATCCCATTTCAATCAGCCCCCACCCGCTTCCCTCTAACTTCGTCCGGTTTAGGATAAAATAGTCTACTCTAATTTAAGTAACAAGACAGTTTGAAATACATGAAAGAACTAAAACAGTAAAGCACGGACAATTTAGCCTAGACAATCAAGTTTGAAGTAGAAACTACGCAATAATTATAATAAACGTGCGCTTCTACTTCTACTCTAGGGGTTCGTAACTTGAAATGCGTCTTGATTTATCTGAATGGTAAATAGATCTACTAATAAACGAATGTTTCTGTACATGACTAACCACGAGGGTGGGGACTGTTAAGTTGGGACTCGCAGTTACCTCTACGTACAAAATAAAATAAAAACTGGCGTGTCGTGTCGTCTGCTATTTTTTTGTTGTGATTGCCCAAACTGACCGGGAGTAGTCATTTGCAAAAGAAATACTGAATCCATTCATATCATTTTAGCTGGTAACCTTCTATGCCTATGTTTTATACCAGAACAAAAATTCCAAACTATTGTATTTATATTTATTAACATTAGTTCCTCTCTGGGAAAGGCATTTACTTTTAAAATCACTCAATAAATGCTCATTAATTATTCTTACTAGGGGGCGCTTTCACTGTCTGGGTCAGAGTTGACGTTGAGTACAGACAAATTAATTTGTTATTTACTTTCTTTGCTAAAAATGGGAGGTGTTGTGTTGGAAAATTTGAGCAACAAGAAGTTGTCAATACTGGCAGTATCTTTACTTTTGATACTGATTGTTTTCTTTTTGATAGGTGGACTTATAGGTAAGTTAATGCGTAGTGACTGTCAGTCTTCCGTCTCGGCCATGTCTGTACAGAAAGAAATCTCTTTGATCATACCGCCAAAGACCCGAACCTAGATTATATGATTGTAAACATTTATAAAATAACGTTGGGTGCAATATGAACTATTAAATCTATTTAGATGAAGATCCTATTGATTCAATGTCAACAATTTCTGAAATGACCCTTGGTGTTGTTGTGGCCACTCTAGAGAACAAAGACTAAAGAGTTAGTCTGCATGGGGCATTAAAAGTCAAACAATTAATTACTCAATAATAGGTTGTTACTCTGATTTTACGAAAAATCATGTTAATCATGTTATTTTAGCGTGTGGAACCTCTAGAGGTCACAATTTTATCTGTTTAAAAAAAAAAAAATGTTTTAAAAGATATCTCTGTTACGCCTTAACTTACTAGGAGCTAAATCGCTAATAGTAATATTTGGGACCTAGAAATTCAAATTGACACAAATGGGTCGAAACGCATACAATAATGTAATATGAATGTATATAAATTGATTTACATTCAATCGTTTCTGTTTTTACTGTAATTTTTAATCAGTTAGGTTCGGCGAAATACGGCAGAAGTCTCAGTCGAATGGCAATCTCTAGTGTCTGGTTATACCAGTCTACGCCGATAATATTATTGCGCATGCTTTCCAGATAAGAATATATCGTCACCGTTTGACATGACTTGTGGAATATGCCTAGCCTCGTTTTTCGAGTGCCTTATTGCAAATAGCGCTGAAATGCATTATGGTACACGATTTGAGTACCAATTGTAAAATGTTTATTTTGTCTTAAATATTGGATATCAGAAGGCCATCTTTTCCCGGTAAGATCACAACATCAGTGTTGATTTAAACCGACAAATAATTTGTGTTTTCAATGTCGAAGATTTTGGATGATATTGAGTTAAAGACTTAGCTACTTTAAGGGTGGTTGAGTTTGAATTTTGCGAAAATCAGACTGAAACTGCCTCACAAAATTGCTGCCCCTCGTACGCAAATAGTGTAGAAGTATGTAACACAAAGGTTGTAGACCCGCTAGAAGACACAATTTGTATCCGATTTTGATGGTTCCTTTTGATATTCGTGCATATTGAACCGTAAATTCCTGGATTATGGCCCCTGATTATACAAAAAATCACATTTTTTTATAGCTTGTTCTCTGTCCATGTCTTGCAGAGAGAGTGAGAGATGGGGTTTAACGTCCACTCGACACAAACTAGGTCATTTTGGGACTAACACATGGTTTGATTTTATTTCTTTAATTCGCTTGCGTGTAGGGGTCTTTTTGGGAGGAACCTGGAGAAAATCCACGAGGTTGGGCAGGCAACCCTACCTACTCCTTGTCATGTACAACCGGGGAATTGAAAGCACGCCAGTTGACTCAATGAATATGACAGACCTTACTGACAAAAGAAAGTGTGAAAGCCCTTGTAGACTGCTTGGATGACGTACCTGCTGCACATGGGTGTATGTTTCGTTGCCTGGCAGCCTATCTTTTTATTACAGTATATAATTAAACCATTATTATACATGATGGCACCATATATATATATGTAGTGTCTGTAAATTTAAGACAAGAAATAAGGTTAATGGGTTAGATTCTTGGCATAGTATTGTTAACTGTACGGTTGGCACAGCAATTCTAATAATAAAACAGCAATTAATTCCATTACTGTTATCAGTTTCCTTATCCATATAATCTTCTCTATGCAAGTCTTGAGAAAATCAATTTGTTTATTTACAGCTCCTGCTCCTTCAAATGTAATGAATATGGTGACAACTAAATGTCATGACATTACTGTTGATGTAAAACCTAAATCTTGGTACATACCTAGAGGCCCTGCTGGATGTGATGCTGTCGATGATTTTGATGACCCAATTATATATGAAAAACATGTAGATACCAGAATGATTGTTTTTGCTCTGTGGATACCATATCCTCGTGATCATAAACAGTTGGATATGTCCAGATGGTTTCAGAATATGCTGACAGTTCTTCAGATGGATATTGAGCATAGATCTACAAATCCTATTTGTAAGTTAAGATCAGCATGTTGGATTTTATGTTCAAATTTTGTGTACATGTATGAATGAGCAGACCTACTTTTAGGCCTGTATACTTTAGTGGTTGGTATTGTGACTGCAGTCATTGCCATTGAAATTCAGATCGGACAGATTTTCAAATAAATGCTCTTCTCATGAAGCACACCAGAGAGCTATCAATTCCTGTCTTTGTTGACACATAACAAAAAGCACAACAAATCCTACTATCTCAAATGGTGCCCGCTTACATGTAAGTTCTATTTAAACGTATACAAGTAGGCTTACTCAATCCTTAAAGGGCATATGAGATGGGCGAAAACTTTTCAGTATATACAGCCAATGGTTACTACATGTATATCCACTTTACAGCAAGTTCACAGTCACACCAATCTGATTAAAATTATCTCAGCTATTAACGTTTGAACATCTGACACACCAAAACATTCAATTTTTCAATTACAACCTAATCTCGTTGATTGGCTGGTGATGTCACAGGGACTACACATACAATGTAGTATATATACATTATCTATACATTAATCACTGTCTGTACAATATATCACTGTCTATACATACCACCAGTTGACAAGTGTTTATTGACGGTCCAATTAACATACATGTATGACGGGCCTAATCATAATCACCAAATTATCGTCTAGCATTGTCATACATGTAGATTAGACATTTGTGATTGGAATATTTTAGAGTGAATTTGATATGCTGTATCGTGCCATAGATCCATTTACCTACAGTGTAAGCTGCCTTTGTTTAAAAAGGCCAAGACGATCCAAGCAATTAGCGCATTTATCAGTAATTTGAATAACTCCATGATAGTTGATTTCCCAAACTATATACAAATGTCACTTGTCGATATATTCATTATTAGGTATATATAACCATTTCTATACACAAAGTACAACTTTTATCGTAACTCAATTTGAAATTCACAGCGAATATGGAATTTTCTGATAACTGCATAACAATAGATTGCCCTCATTTCTCAGACAATCAATGCTGGGAATCACCATGTACATTTCCATGCATACTATGGGCATTGTAACTACATGTAAGGTTAATGTTTAGCGCGAAAATTGTATGGGATTCATGGACATGAATATCAAATACACCTGATCATATGTGGAGTTCCTGATGCCGTTTGGTGAGTGATTAAACTGTCAATGTAATTGTAAAATACCTTTTTATACGCCCACATTGAAATGTGGTCGTATATTGTCGTCGTTAATATCCGATTGACTTTAAATTTATACACAGTGTTTAAGGTCATGAGACGAAGAAGCCTATTGATTTTCAGCGATTTCCGATAATTACTGCCAGAGTTATGGCCCTTGATCACATCAAAAAATCTTGCGGACGCTCTACAGGTCAAAGTTAATATCCGATTGACTTTAAATTTATACACAGTGTTTAAGGTCATGAGACGAAGAAGCTTATTAATTTTCATCGATTTCCGATAATTACTGCCAGAGTTATGGCTCTTGATCACTTTGAAAAATCTTGTGGATGCTCTAGAGGCTAAAGTTAATATTCGATTGACTTTAAATTTATACACAGTGTTTAAGGTCATGAGACGAAGAAGCCTATTGATTTTCAGCGATTTCCTATAATTACTGTCAGAGTTATGACCCTTGATCACATCAAAAAATCTTGTGGACGCTCTACAGGTCAAAGTTAATATCCGATTGACTTTAAATTTATACACAGTGTTTAAGGTCATGAGACAAAGAATCCTATTGATTTTTAACAATTTCTGATAATTACTGCCAAACTTATGGCCCTTGATCACGTTGAAAAAACTTGTGACGCTCTAGAGGCTAAAGTTATCACCCGATTGACTTCAGATTTTAGTGTATTATAAATGTTTCATTACCCAAAAAAGTAAAAAAATATGCGACAACACTTGTTGACTGCCCAGGCGATTTAGCTGCTGTGGGCGTATGTTTCGTTGCCTGGCAAATAATAATTATAAACAATTGATGAGTAAAACTTAATTATTCTATACAATTAATGTGTGTGCTATTCAACGATTAGTTGTGTGGAGAAATGTTTGTAGAAATATTGCCTGGTAAATTTTTTCGTTCATGCGGTATTACGCACACGTTCCACCTAGAGTGATATCTTTGTGCAACTTTAAACGGATCGATTAAAGATACATTATGGGAGATTTTAATAGAGAGTTGACCATTCTTGCTATAACAGTTCAAAAATAGATGATGAAAGAAGAATATATTGAAAATTTCAGTCAAATTACTTTATTCTGAACAAAGTTATCACCATTGTAATTTTTGACTAGAAATAGGAGTCAACTCTCTCTTCACCGTCTCCGAGAATGGCTGATCATTTGATTGACAGGTGTTAACTCCACCTGCATAATCTCGATTATCAAGTAACGTTTTCAATGGCTGTGGTACCGTTAGCCTATTCGGTTTGAGATGGGGTTGCAATTCAATTCGTATCACATTTATTTTTACTACAAATTAAAAATAAGACTTAATATATAGATAAGAAGCGAAAGTTTGAAAGGAATGGACCAAATCAATAAGGCATTATTATAGCCGACTTCTTGTTAGCTCGCGTGTACTCTTGTAGTGTACTGTAACTGGTACTGTATGCATACGTAACTCCCGAAGCAGACAAATAGGAAACAGTAATCCAATGGGGCTGCAATTCAACTGGGGGATTGTTAGCTGCGATATTTATCAATTTCCATAATTTTTCTGTAAACGCGTGTGACAAAAGAGCGTATAATATCGACATCCAAACTCTCATTTTAACCACAACTAAACATAATATCAAGGCCATATATATCGAACTTTCAATCAAATTGACTGACCTGCGGCCTCACTCAACAGCGGCCTCACTTCGTACACTCTATCATTTAGCCTTGATCTAAAATTTCCGGGAGTATGACGTCAACGTAACGGTTAATCTCCACTTACGACGCAATTTAAAAATTTAATCAATCAATGAAATCCTGTTTAAATCCAAGCCGAATCCAAGCCATACGTGGGTCTACAGAGTTGATTTTGTGCTTGTTGTGTAAATAAAGATCTAATTTATAATTTCTATGACATCTGAAGCCGAAATAAAGACTTGCAATAATCAGATTTAGCGCTTGCATAATGTATGTTTAACAACACTACACTTGCCATATTATTATTAATACACAAAGATAGTTAGATGACCATCCTCAATCTGTTATTCGATTTAGATGGTTACCAACAACATGTATATTGAGATATTTTTTGTATTTCATTTATACAGTCTATTTCAGAGTAATGAAGTCAAATCCACATGCATAAAGAAAGCCACCCTTTGATGACTACAAGAAAACGAGATACAGTTGGCTACACTGATAACAGATCCTCATTTACAAATCGCATTTCAATCTTGTTTGACTTTTATGATACATTTTGCATGACCACATCTTTATTACTCCTGCACTCTTTTACTCCGGGAAATTAGAACCACAATACTCTTCTGACAGAAATGTATCTCGAAACGTTTGGAGGGACTCTATCAAAAAGTCACTTTAAAACACAGTTTTAAAACTACTGTCGTGAGAAGAGAGGGCAAACATTATAAAACAAATTCTAAATTGGATCTTAATTTAAAATAAATTACAAAACAAATTATTCTGTAGTCAATTGTCTTATTTAATTAGGGGATTAAAGAATCTGTCAGGCGTTAATGAATACACAGACTGGCTGTATATATGTAATTAAGGAATAAGCATCCTGAATATGCATTCGGTCACTTTGACGTCACTGGCGTCTGAGGGGAAGAGCGTTTTAAATGTCGTTTTTACGGGAGGTCTCTTTTTGCGACTTTGAGTGAAGATTGCTGGATTAATTTTAATCTGATTGGTGTGAACTTGCCGTAAAGTTTTCATTAATAATGCAAATTATTATTTTTTTTTTTTGTAACTGTTTATAGCGGAAAATGCTACAATGAAGATGGAAGTGCGTTTGGGATATAGAAATAAAAATGACAATGAAACAGATTGGAAAGAACTGATCACTACAAGTATCAACAGACCACTACATTGTGAAAAAAACGGTGTAAGAAAATGCCATTTTTTAATAATTCAGTATACTGGTATTCAAATGTCATGGTTGGTATATACATTTATGACGTACATGTATAATGCAATTTTGTAAAGCTAAGAATATTATTTTTATAGTCAACTAATAAGCACACCATTCCAAGTATATGACCTAAAAATGCAGAAAATGTGTGTCAATATGGATGTTAAAAAGGATGATTTGCCTGCCGCAGCGAAAGAGTTAAAATGTCTAATTAATAATTTAGATAACATTTCAGGCCTAAAGAAAGACCTGCAATATGCAGATTTAGCTCTTGCATAATGTATGTTTAAGTAATCTCATGAAATTGTTCATTGTATTGTAGTACTGGTAAGTGTGTATCCATTTACTGTACATAAATTTTATTTATTTTTAATATATTAAATTTTGTTTTTCCACCAGACAAAAGATGGTGAGCAATATAAATGTGATCTGGTATCATTTTTTGAGTTGGGGAGTGTGCATTATGATTACTACCTGATTAATTTACGACTACCTGTCTACCCACAAAAACAAACCAACCAAGGTTTAGGAACTATAAAAGATATCTGGATTATTGTAAGTTTTTCCTGATAATTGTTAGTTTCATCGGCTGTGATATCCCCTCATGTGGAAGCTGTTGTAAAACCTTAGTAGAAGTACAGTAATATGACTTGAATGTCATGCTTGTTTTTCAACATAGTTGTACATATGTGAGATGTTTCTATTTTAAAGGTTTTTTTTTTTACAAAAAGGTGTTAACCATACTGAAATGTATACTTAAGGAGAAGTGTTTAATTCTCTGATGGAGGCTCTAGTTAGGATTCCTACATGTATTTCTAGTAATCCCAAGCAACTGTCTAGATGATTGTGATATGATTTCAAAGAAATACCCAGTACCTACTTTGAATTGGCCCATATAATTTGAGACTAGTGTTAGTAATCACCAAGTGCCTGGATAACCTGTCTATAGCTCTGACTTCCTACTTTTTGATCGTTTTTCATTGTTAATACATTGTAACTTTGTTTCTTGTTTAAAAAACTGTAAATTGACTTTTATCAAATTATTTTTATGATTCCAGACAATCTTTCAAAATGGTGGTTTTACAAAAGTATGGTTTGCATTAAAGACTACCATGTTCCCAGTTGTTCTCACTATATTAGTTTGGTTTTGGAGACGAATAAAACTACTCAGTAGAGAACCAAATTTATTAGAAAGGTAACCTGGCTTCGCTTATGAGATGCTGTGGGCATGTTTTGTTGCCTTGCAACCTATCTTTGGTAAAATTAAAAATGTTGTTTTGATGAGATTTCATATTGTTCTTATTAAGCCCGTTGCTAAAAGGAACATGATGTTACTGATTTTGTTTTCAACAGATGCCAATTCTTAATTTTTGTTTCAGAACATTATTAGCATTGGGTATTATTCTGTCTATAATGAATTGTAAGTAGCAGTGTATTTTGATATTTCTATATATATCACTGTTTTGATTTGTACTATAATAAAAATTTGTTTCAAATTAATTTAACAGAATCAAGACATTTATATGTATTCTGATTTCATAGGTAAATAATAGATGTTCATAATATTTGGAGGGTCTAGAGCATAACTGATCTAACTGCCAACTAAATGTGATTAAAACACAAACACAAAACGCAGACAATCGTTTTAAGTCCTCAGAAGGACTAAGTCAAACAAAGCACACTCCAAGAATAATGATTTAAACACAACTTTTTTTTGTTGGCAGTTGTTACTTCTGGTACATGTATATCGCTCCAAATTTATAGCGTGCTGAAATCGATGCAAATTAAATCAAAAGATGGCACTACATATTCTTGCCTGTAATAGCTAGGCTATGTAATACTTAGGGGTGATGAATTTCTGCGATCGTGAAAAAAACATGGAAATCTCGGAGTTATGCACTCAAAATGGAAATTGAAATCTCACACGGAAAAGCTGATATTTGCTGATATTAAACAAAAACTAAAAAAAAATGTGTATTTATCCACGTATTTTTATTCATAAAAATTAATCGATATCTCATGCTTTTATTACTATTTTGATATTAATATAGGCTACTTTAATTTTGTCATTTTGGAATCATGTATCCCTAATAATACAATTACTTTGTAGTTGGATTTAATAATATAATCTATATCTGTATATGTCTTAAAAGCTTTAGAGATTTTATAAAAGTAAAAATCGTTTCATTTACTTTTTTTTTTACTGCTGGGCTCACGTTTATCCGCTTTCAAACCGTGACATCACATAGAAACAGTAGTAACTATGAAGTTTATCTGGATGAGTCGCGACAATAAATATTATCACCCCTAAATATTTAATATATTTGAAAATTATATGGTTATATTGTATTTGATTTATTGACTATAAATTATTTATAAACACTGTCTGAAGTAGCGAAAACAATGTGGATGAATATTTGTAGGTCCTGTAGAATGGTTTACTATCTGGTTCGATCTACCATGGATGACTATACTTACTGACGTGAGACAAGGGGCCTTTTATGCTACACTTATGTCATTTTGGATGATATTTGCTGGAGAACACATTATGGTTAGTGATTACCTTTCTTTTTTCTTTTAATGCTTTTTATGCAGATGAATATATGTACAGGTGTTGAAATATTGTTCAAAATTAATATTTGCTGGAAAATTGTGGAAGTTACATGTAAAGGATCCTATAAAGGCCTGCTCACACCAATGTTAATTTTTCCACGAATATCCATGAATGATGAACAATCATTGAATTATACTGCCCGACACATTATCCCTGATGTTTCACTGGTAATATGTGCACTATTGGCATAGGATCCAACTCTTTTCCAAATGCATGCTTTAGTTTTGTATAATGCAGTCATTGTATAAGAATGGTTCAATTAACATTGCCATGTATCTGTTAAGGCAATGGACAATTCTCAAGCACGGCATAACATGACTGACGACGGATTGGCATCAGGAAATTAGTGTGGTGTGTGCTGAGTTTATTATATGAAGTCTCTATAGTAGTGACAAAATGATCCTTGGTGTCCACAAGCCTTTGGTAGATGAACCAGAATCATGAACAGCTCACAAGTTTGGAACAAACATTTTGGATAAATATATTACGATATTCATATATATATATATGTACTTTATTTACAGGATTCCATTCCTAAGAACAGCTTATCAAGATACAAGATACATTTATCCTTGGTTGTATTTGGATGTCTTTGTCTCTTTATCTTTGAGATGTGTGAAAAGTAAGTTGAATATTAGAAGTCTTTTTTTTACAATGATACTTTCAATACTAATAGATACATGTACTAGGCTAAAAACTAGGATATTAACTAAGACTAATAATTTTTGTCCCCCCACCTTTTATACAGCTCGATAGTTTCATTAGATCAGTATATAAACAGTATATACATGTTATTGATTAATGAAGACTTGAAATATATATGTAATGTTTATGCTCATGAGACGAGGAAGCCTATAGATTTTCAACGTTTTTGTGGTAATTACTCTCACAGTTATCAATCTGATTAAAATGCAGATATTATTTCATGTCGTTTTTTATATTTCAAAATTTCGTTTTACTTGTCTTCACAACACTAGGATCTGGAAGAGTTGTTGTATAACACGCGTTCTTGTTGAAGTGATTTATTAGCCAATGTAACGGTCTGTTGCGCGAAGATTTCTTGGTGTGCAATGCACGAAACTGTGGGTAAGCTATTAGAACCGTCAACACTGATTGATTAATCAATGTCTGACGTCATAGGGTCAAAAGCTGCTAGTACTACCCCACCTTCCACTAGAACCGGTCAGATCTACATGTAGTATAGACCATTGAAAGTTTAAAAAAACAAAATATAGATCTGCATTTTAATCAGATTGCACAGTTATGACCCTTGATCCTTGATTAATTTCGAAAATCTTGCTGACACTCTAGTGTTTTTTATATGCCCTCATTACCTACAAAAGAAGAAATATGTCATAACCTTTGTGGATGGCTCAAATGATTTAGGTGTGATGTAGATATGTTTTGCTGCCTAGCAACTTATCTTTTGGTTTGTGTTTATGTGTGTCACTTTCAAAATCATTACTTTCTTTTGTTCTCTTTTTCTTTAGGGGAATGCAGTTGGCCAATCCATTTTATACCATTTGGGTGACAGAAACAGGGGCACACTTGGCTGTATCCTTTCAAAAATGTGTAATAAATTGCTGATCTAGAGCTTGTAGTTGTATTCATTTGATGAACTTAAAATGCCAAGATTAAAAATGTAATGCCCATATCCTTTCAAGGATATTTCTGAAATGACAAAGTGCCTCACTTCTTATTGGATAAGGCCTATCTGTCTTACTCAATTAAAGTGATTTTTAAAGAAAAAATACCCTTGACTCCTTATACTTCTCACTGTGTGCTTTTCTGATTTATGTTATGTTATTAATGTAAGCCTTTATTAAGGAATAATAATAAATTTAAGATATTATAGCTAGAACTATAACATTTTTTATACGCCAACATAGAAATGTGGTCGTATATTGCCGTTGCCCCCATCTGATTCTTTTGAAATTAATATGTATACTTCAGTGAGATCAAGAAGCCTATTTAATTTCAATAATTTCCGTTAATTTTTTCTGGAGTTATGGCCCTTGTTTCACTTTGTTGAACCTTGTCAATGCTCTTACAATAAAAGTTATCATTTGATCTGAATGAAATTTATATGAGTCATTTAAATTAGTGAATCGAAGCAGCCTATTTAATTTCAGCAATTTCTGTTAATTACGTCTTGAGTTATGGCCCTTGTTTCACTTTGTTGAAAATTGTGAATGCTCTAATGACAACTGTTATCTTCCGATCTGTATAAAATTTATATGCTTCATTTAAATTATTGAAACGAAGAATCCTTGAATTGAATTTCAGTCAATTACTTCTAGAGTTATGGCCCTTGTTTCCCTTTGTTGAACATTCGATTGACAAAAGTTATCATCCGATCTGTATGAAATTTATATGCATTATTTAAATTAGTAATAAAAAATTTCTGTACATTACTTCCATTTTTCAATAAACAGATTTGAGCTTGTTGTTTAATTTTTACAAATAATCTTAACCAAAAAAACACATAAGAGTGAATACTTTGGATATGGCTTTTGTATTGTAGGCCTTTAGGCCTTCAAATACCTAAAAATTAGTGATTTTTGTCTGTTAATTATTTAAAAATAGTATTGTTTATACTTGAATCATTAGCCAGAGTATTACCATTATTCCAAATAGATCTATCTGTCGCAATAGATCTAACAAGTAAGCATGAATTAATGTTTGCTTATGATGTGATTTTAAGTTAGGAGAGGGATACGGCTGTCCTAAGTTAGAATTAATTTTAGTTAAATTTGTCCCTAAAATGGTTTCTTGAAACACCACTATTTTCAGTTAAGATAAAATTTTAACTTAAAATATTATTTTAGTGGATTTTAGTTAAAATGCTTGAATTGTTTTGTGAAACTCATCTATCTTAAGTCAGGATGAAGTTTTAGTTTAAGACGATATTAAGGAGATTTAAGTTTTTGTAAAATAAAACAGGGCCCACGTCTTAATGGCCAATTTTGTCTCTTTTAATACTATTGCTCGAAAAATATTGTGATATTTGATATTTTATTGTTTGACACCTTAACTGTCTGTAGTTGGCTTTTATTATTCTAGCTGGAATGGCTGCTTGTACTTATTTTCTTTTCCTCTCATATATGATATTCAAAGTTTTCAGAAATATTAGTGCCAAGAAGACGGCTCTACCAAGAATGAGTAACATTCGTCGAAAGTTTTACATGGTATAGTTTTATTTGTTTATAATTTTGGCAACATTTGCACAATTCATTTCAGCTTTTACATGCTATTTTAGGTCTCCAAATCACAATAAACATACATTATGCAAGAGCTAAATCTGACTATTGCAGGTCTTTCTTTATGACTGAAATGTTATCTAAATTATTAATTAGACATTAATTAACTTATCCAGACCATAATCAACTCTCGATCTGCTGCTCAACGCTCATTGATGATTAGATCAAAAAATGGATAATCGAGACTATGTTTTTTATTGTACCGACTTTAGTAATGTAATGATGATCGAGGCTAGTCCTAAAATTCAAGGTTGGATCAATTTGACCGAAATTTTCAGCAAATTCCTTTTACATTATCTAGTTTTTAACTATTATAATGAGAACTGCCAGCTCTTTATCTAATCTCCCATAATGTATCTTTAAGTACCTTTAAATTATATATTTAACAGATAAAAGCCTATTTTACATTTTTACATGCCTAAATCTTAATGTATATAGTTGTTGTCACCCCTGTCCTGTTGGTTTGTCTCTCCAGTGTCCATCCACATGCAACGGACTTTTGTGAAATTATCTGGAATCGTTGAAAATGAAATAAAGACGCCTCTAAAGTAGTTCCAAGGTATGGTCTGCTTGGGTAGTTCTCTATGAGGTCACCATTTAACGGTAAAATGAAAAAATAAATTGACACAAATACTTATTTTTGTAAAGGGCTACACAAAGAAAAAATGTAAGATCATATTAGTAGAGTACTTTAACACGCATCGCTATGACGTAATTCCTAGATTGACAGGATTAAACATTGGTGCAAATTTTCAGTAATAGCTAGTATTTAGGTACAGATGGTCCATATCAATTTTGTCCGTTGTTACTATCATAATTTCCAAAGTCATTTCCCATTTGATTATTAACAATTTTCAATTGAACTGTAGTAAAGGTTGTCTATCAATTTTGATTGATTTCATAAATATAGTTCTGACAGAGTTTTGCCAATGATTTATAACTGTTGATAAATATCATTGCTGCTATTCATATCTCACTCTGTAGAGTTAAAACCTTGCTTGGTTTTTATGAATAGTTACTATGGGGCTAAGATGATTACTGTCCATTTTCAGAAAAGTACTTGCTGAATTGCTGCCCCCTAACTTAATGATTGTTAATAAAAGGATAAACACTCTATTTATCAATTTCACAAAATAATATAACAGATCTATCCAGCTATTTTCTCATGTATTTTTTTGTAAAACTTTGTTTGACATGTCATTGAATTTATTGTAGGGTCTAATATTTCGCTTCAAGTTTCTTATGGTGTTGACATTACTATGTGCTGCTTTGACTACTATCTTCTTCATCATTAGTCAAGTTAGTGAAGGACAGTGGAAGTGGGGAGATGAAGGAATAAGTCTAGAATATTCAAGTGCTTTCCTCACAGGTAAATTCTAGCTTCAGAAGTTTTCTTGTACAATAACAGTAAAATGAAATTGGAGAGAACATGTGACATGGACTCAAAGAAACATTTTACTGTGTGAAATATTTGGAAATGGTTTAACAGCATTTCTGTGTTTCACTTTATTTTACATAAAATGTTCCCAGGTCAATTGAAAAGAGAGATATAACTTTATTGGACGTGAAGTTGAAAATAAAATCCCTCTCCCTCATTGTGTAAGTAGCCATAGAATCATGGCAGACTAACAGTATGTTAAAGTTGTGTGAGCACACAGCTTGATCATAAAATGACTGTCCTTTAATGCCTCAAATTCATATTTAATCAAAGGAATGCAAATATGATAATATACTGAGAAGCTGCCTCTCATTGATTTTATTTTAAACTTGACTGTCTCGATTATTTATTTCATTATTTTAGGAATGTTAAATTATTATTTAACAGCAGAAAGTATGAGAAAGAATTATTTTTGTATTAGAAAGATTTCAGTTAATATAGTAGAGTTACTTTTGGTTTTATTAATGTATTTTTATACGCTCACATCGAAATGTGGTCGTATATTGTCGTCGCCCCCGTCCGGCGGTCCGGCATCCACAATTGCTTGTGGACACTCTAGAGGCCAAAGTTAATATCTGCTTGACTTTAAATTTATACACAGTGTTTAAGGTCTTGAGACGAAGAAGCCTACTGATTTTCAGCGATTTCCTATAATTATTGCCAGAGTAATGGCCCTTGATCACTTTGAAAAATCTTGTGGACGCTCTAGAGGCCAAAGATAATATCCGATTGACCTAAAATTTATACACAGTGTTTTAGGTCATGCGACGAAGAAGCCTATTGATTTTCAGCGATTTCCGATAATTACTGCCAGAGTTATGGCCCTTGATCACTTCAAAAAATCTTGTGGACGCTCTAAAGGCCACAGTTAATATCCGATTGACTTTAAATTTATACACAGTGTTTTAGGTCATGAGACGAAGAAGCCTATTTATTTTCAGCGATTTCCGATTATTACTGCCAGAGTTATGGTCCTTGATCACTTTGAAAAATCTTGTGGACGCTCTATAGGCCGAAGTTAATATCCGGTTGACTTTAAATTTATACACAGTGTTAAAGGTCATGAGACGAAGAATCCTATTGTTTTCCATGATTTCCGATAATTACTGCCAGAGTTATGGCCCTTGATCACTTCAAAAAATCTTGTGGACGCTCTAAAGGCCAAAGTTAATATCCGATTGACTTTAAATTTATACACAGTGTTTAAGGCCATGAGACAAAGAATCCTATTGATTTTCAATGATTTCCGATAATTACTGCCAAAGTTATGGCCCTTGATCACTTTGTGACGCTCTAAAGGCTAAAGTTATCATCCGATTGACTTCAGATTGATACACAGAGTTTAAGATCTTGAGACGAACAAGTATATTGATTTTCAATGGATTTTTATGTCTTGAACAGCTAAATCCTTGATATTAAAAGTTTTGTATACAAAACGTTAGCATGGGGCAGAACTTTATACAAACAAACAAATTCTAATGGTTTTCTGACAATTACTTCATGAGTTGATGCTCTTAATCAGATTTTAGTGTATTATAAATGTTTCATTACCGAAAAAAGTAAAAATATGCAACAACTCTTGTTGACTGCCTGGACGATTTAGCTGTTGTGGGCGTATGTTTCGTTCCCTGGCAACCTATCTTTGTGTAAAGTACTTGTCCTGTCATGAACAGGAATAATTTGAGATTGTTCTAAAATGTAATGAAATGAGGTTTAACAACCTACTGTTCTGCACTGACTGGGCTAATGTAGACAGGCATACAGTGTGCGATGAGGGTAATTTTTCTAGGACAGCGGTACCTTGGCCTACTCTTATATCGAATTCCAGCTGTCAAGGGTTCTTATGTGCAAGCCAATATGTACACAGGACCTCAGTTTTTTGTAATATTCAAACGACTATACATTGTTCATTGTCCTTTGCCAGGCAGGGGTTGGATGGCTGAATGGTTAGCGTGCGTACGCTGTATCATAAAGTCTGTCATTGAGTCGACTGGCGTGGTTTCGAATCCCTGGTTGTACGTGACAAGGAGTAGGGTCGCCTGTCCAACCTCGTGGGTTTTCTCCGGGTCCTTCGGTTTCCTCCACTGCTAAAGACCCCTACGCGCAAGCGAATTATGTAAATAAAATTAAACCATATGTTAGTCCCGAAATGACCTCGTTTGTGTCGAGTGGACGTTAAACCCCATATCTCTCTCTCTCTCCTTTGCAAGGCCCTCCGTCTTGCACCACTGAGTAGGGGGAACCACCTCTTTTAGGTCTTCTACAACAACTCCCTTCCTAATGCTAACAAAATACTTTAAAAAACTTAAATTTTACAGACTCTTAATTGAAAGCTGAGAATCAAACTAAAGACAACAAATTTTAGTGGGATAACATTTTACGATCTGCTATCCTAGCTATTTGCTTGTACCCCATTTTAATGATATCAAAATGATTTGAGTATACCATATTGATATGATGGCCAAATCCTAATTCTGTTTTATTTCTTAGTAAACATGTTTTCATTTTTGTTTTAAAGGAGTTTATGGCATGTGGAATGTGTACGTAATTGGGCTGCTAAGTTTGTATGCCCCATCACACAAACAGTATACTAATGCTGATATAAGTAAGTACATGTATAGTATAATAATTTCTGAATTCTGTAAAGGTCAGTTTGTCTGTGCTGTGTGATTTATTTGACAGTTGTGCTTCATTACATTACAGAGTCTAAATTTCTATAGGTCCACATATGTTTTCTGTGTGTATATAATTCTTGTAAATAGTCAGTGTTTCTGAGATTTTCTTTTCAAACTTGCTGTCATTGTTCAGGTAAGTCATTGGGAAGGAACCATTTCGAAATTCATAGTCATCCAATGATTTTTTGCCATGTTACTTCTACTGACACTAATACCTTGTAAACTCTCTATAAAATCAATGTCTGAGATCAAAGGTATTATTTTCTTAAAATATATCTAAGGAACGAATTAATATCATCCTTCATACTCCCTATTCCTGATCAACAGTATTCTCAGTCAGGGGCCAATAGAAAGCTCAAAATTTTGGGAACAGAGGTTGTTACTATCAATAGACCTTTTTTTGAAGCTTTATATTGTGTTTTATTTCATGTAGATAACAGTGATGGAAGTCAAGAAGAGGAGGTTCAACTTACACAGATTCCAACCGAAAATTCAGCCCTATCAGCTTATGTTACAAAGGAAGCTGAGGACTAAATAAGGAAGTGATTATATTGAAAACCTTGAACTGGTTATTTGTCTGTTCTTAGTGCAATTTACTTGAATGTATTTATAAAGCTCCACTAATAATAACACAAGTTGGTAATGTGCAAAGGGGGTGCATTTGGTTTATTAAAAATCTTTATGTCATGGGTTTGTTTATGTTGATTTAATGCTATGATGGAGATACAGGGTTGAATTTAAATGCATTTGCCATTATGATGTGTTTTGACTTTGACAGATTTATATTGTCTTTTATTTATGTTTTTTTTTGCAGATTTTTAGAACAATGCTTACAATCTTTATTCATTTGTTTACATTGACCATAGTTTATATTATTATTATTATATAGATTTATATAATGTGTATATACATCAGCGTCAAAGTTGACATGTTATATCTAATGTGTACATGTATATTTGAATATGATGATTAAATTTTGTAGTTATAATAACATTTAAATTAAATGAAGTCCCATGTGATATAGTTAAAAGACAGATGGAAAACAATTCAAAAGGCATGCCAAAAGGAATTTGAATATAGAATGGAATGGAATATTTTGTTGATACTTACTGCCTGAACTCTATGCCATGGTAAAAAATAAAATGTTTTACGTGCCGTATGAAGTATGAACACACTGCTTAATTGCAAAGGAAACTATCCAGTCTTCATGTATATATTTCAAATAATAAGGCAAGAAAATTGCAAGCTATCTTACTTACAAGTATAAGATGGAAACAAATTAATGGATGACATAATTTGTGATGAGTGAACATCTAATTTCATTTGATTTCATTTTGTGATGAGAGTGCAATTTTTTATAAAGAGAACTTATGCTTTGGAATTTGAATTATACAATGGATTTTATTTTACTGTAGGCAATTTAAAACAATTTTTAATAAAAAATGGAACTAAAACACTTTATTTTTTTTTTTTTAACATGCCTCAGAAAGTAAGGAATATTGAGATAATGCAATGCATTAAGGTTGAATAATTTTGCCTGGACAATAGTGTTTCTGCCTATTGTTCTTTGAAATCTAACTGTCACAACATCCTTTAGATGTACTAACAATTTGAACATGGGACCTCATTTTTTTTGTCCCACCTGAACGACCATGTGATATTTATTAGATTTTGATTGTGCACATACATCATATCATATACTTACAATTTTATTATTGTAATATAAAAATTGTTAAAGTTGTAAAGAGTAATCCAGTTTTGTTTGTTTGTTCCACAAGATTTTAGTTTATATAATTAGTTTCTTCTGAATTGTTACATGGATAAAGACTCTTATGATTTGATTTAAAAGTTTTCTTTATAATGTAATAATAGTAGTAATAAGAAACTAATGAAATAATTTTATATTTTTACACTTTTGTAGCAAGTTCAGTAGCTGGTTGTGATTTTCAATAGTTAGTGAAAAGAAATACTTAATGCAATACATGTTGATTTTAATTTAAAATGTGTACTTATTTATCAGACGACACTACATTTATTAAGTTCATATTTGCTTCTAAGTCCTAACTATCTAAAATCTTGTTGTTCTTCCATTGATGAAGGCCAAAGTTAAGTTCATGCTACAAAATACCAATTTAATAATTAGATGCTTCATTGAGTCAAATAGATCTGATATTTTTAAAATTTATTTTATGAAATAGTAATATTTTCTAGCGATGTAATCGGATAAAAAATCATAATTATATAATTTTTACATTCATTTTGATATATTCTCTTTAAGCTATTATACATGGCAAGATATTTGTACATTTTACTAGAATAACTAGAATAAATTGTAGTAATATTAGGCTACACAAAATAAATGTCTTGTTTCTCGGGCAACTGACAGCTGAAACTGTAGGGGGGGAGGGCGGTTTATTTTTTTTTTTATCTCATTTCTGGCTAGAGGATGGTGCAAAATAAAATTTGCCTATTGTTGAAAATTGTTGGGGCGGGAGGGCGGCCTTGTATTTTTTTTAATAAGAATTACTTGTCTACGGTTTTGCTTTCAGTTATATATTATACATACTTAGAATATAAACCCAAAAATCAAGTCTACTCAAACACTGACTGAAAGGAAAATAATTTTCCATATTTAATTCACGTAATGTAGCTTACTAATATGGTAATAGTGACAACCATAATTGAAATTGGTTTAAAATAAAATTCCGCACGACTATTAATAGCCGTCCATAATAACGACAATATTTTAAAGAGTAAGCCTCTGTCAGCATGTGTATCATCATCATCACGGTAAACGACACTTCGATCTAAATCTAGTATTGCTGGTTTATAATGATTGACCTAATTCCAACCAATGTCAATATGACTGTTTCTCAGGTTATTCGATGTGTTTCTCAGGATATTCGGTGTTCTATCTGGGGTTTATATCGAATGACTATTTAAATTTAACTAACAACTCGTCAGTAAAACCATCAAATGTGTAATCCAATTATTATTTTCCGGATTATCAAAACTACCGTTAAATGTGCTAATGACCCAGATTCTGACTAAGGTATGATGGCTATCATCGTATCGTATTCGTAGCCACAAGTTATAATAATTAACCTGTTCTACGATTCATTGTTTTATAAGTAGGATTTTTTTAAACATGGACCGACTGAAGCCGGCAATAATGAGCCGATTAAGATCGAATGATTGAAATACATTGCATTGTTGTCAATGACTTTCGGTGTTTAACACGATTCAAATTCCAGTTCACAAGGGGAGGTAATTATAATCACGTGATACAAAAATGGAGGTTCTTTCGATATCAATAAAAAAGACCCGTAAATGAGCGTTTACATCTGAATCAGTTTAATACATTTGAATGGATATTCACGTATGGGGCATGTAGATACATGCGGCATATTTTTTTTATGACTTGCTTATCGATGTTCGGGCGGGCGTTACATATTTTTTTTTTGTCATCAAGACTAATAAATAGGCCGCACGCGCAACCAATTTTGCGTGCGGGCGGTGCCCGAAAAACAACTTATTTTATTTGTGTTGCCTTATTTGTAGTTTGTTGCATCAAACAAATTTGTCAGATGCACACAGGTGCTTGTACAATGGAAAATCTCTTTCAAAGAGTAACTTTAAGCTGAGGTTAAGTATTATGCCTAAAGTCTATTTACTTGTAGGTTCATGGTCACATAAGTGAGATAACCAAATTCAGGGGCAAATAACTCCTATCGCTCCTAAACGGAGGCTGGCAGACACCATTAAATTTCACCGTTTCTTTACCCACGATCTGTAGTTCGTCTATTTATAGAATTATCTTTCTCTCCCCTTTTGCATGGTCATTTTGTTGTTATCTTGGTCTAGAATCGAAGAAGGGTGTTTAAATTTACGTTTTCTGGCAGGTTTTGGTAAATATTCATGGTTTAATTTAGAGTTAGGGTAAAGAGGTTGGTATCTCAAATTTCACTTAAAGCCTAAGACATGGCCATTTGTTGTTCTGTCTTAAGTGAAAATCGCGTTCTGCCCAACGGAAATTTGAAGAAAAGTTGGTGTCGGGCAAAGAAAAATACGCCTTTTTGCCAAAACCTCTGAATTATTGCATCACGATGTCGTATTTTTGTAGTGAACACTTGTTAGAAGGTACAGTGTTCAGAAAACAAAAGTTTATACTGATCGAGAAGAGGTTATAGCCTTGAATCATTATAAATGACCACACTGGTCCTTTTATTTCTTATAACGTATAACTTATTAATGATGTGCGGGGTAGCAAGTTCCAACATTTCCAAGAAAATGTCCCGGACAATCACAAATGGTCGTGGAACCTCTGAAATGAATTGGATATCCAGTGATTACGTTTCTAGTGTAAGGAAAGATTTGTAATATAAGAATCTTCAATGAAAAAAATCGAATTAAACAACAGAATACAATACAGAACAGCTGTATTCATCCGCCAAAAAAAATAGTACCTAAAATTCATGTACATTATATAGGTTTAAACGTCAAATGAGGTCAAATGAATAGAGACGTCTTTAATATATACTAAATATTCGTATCATCCCAAATCGACAATAAAACAATGAGAAAAAGGAAAATCTAAGTAATGGCAATCTAATTAACATAAAATTTACGACATAATGGATTCTTCAATGTTTTGATGGTGATCATGAAGAAAATAGGCCTACATCTGTTCTCAGGAATCCGATAAGATTTTCAAAAAAAAGATCAGTAGAATTATAGATTGTTATTCCACAAAGTCGAAAGGTATGTTAGATTTTTCATTCAGTCAAATTAGAGCGAGTTTATTGCCGTACTTTGAGCTCCAAACCCGATAGAAATGAAGGCGGAAGTGGCCATAATAGTTTTAGAGATCACTACGTGATGGCGCTCCTGCGTCGCGACAAACGGGGCCGATTTGTCTAGTTTTAACTCAATAATCCATTATGCCGACATTAGAACAGATTCGCCGAAATATGAATTAATTGAGATGACAAAAATATCGAAGATGAATGCATTATATTGTTACTTTCAAACTGTATACTTTGGGGTTAAGTTTGTAGGTTATCGACGATACCAGTAGTTCCCAACCTTGTTGGTTACGGCTCCATTCCATACAGAGGCGGATCTAAGGGGGGGGGGGGGTGCGCGAGTCTGGCCTAATCAATGCTTCCACTTTCAAACGAATTCTTGTTGTTTAGCTGACGTTGCCCTAATCCTATATAGTGACTATAGACAGACATCAATGATAGCATCTTGTGGAATCGGTGGCGTATACACTCATGCCCTTCACCGACGGGGGATCACGTGGCTAAGTGGGTAAGACGCTAGCTCGCTAGCCTGGAGGTCGGGTGTTCGATCCCTGCATTGGCCGAGAAAGTTCATCCAGATTTTCCGGCGTGGTTCTCCCTTGTCAGTGATACAGGACGGAGGGGCTGACAAGGAAAGCTGTCTAGTCGTTCGGATGGGACGAAAAACCGAGGTCCCGTGTACACATTGGCGTGCACGTAAAATATACCTTGGCAGTTGGAATTCGATATAAGAGTAGGCCGTAGTGCCGCTGTCCGGGCAAAATTTCCCTCATAGCACACTGTATGGCGTATGCCCGTCTTCATTAGCCCAGGTTAGGAGCAGAACAGTAGGACGTTAAACTCCATTTCATTTCATTTCATTTCCATCACCGACGTGTATGAGTTCAACTTGATGAACAGTACAAGTTACAAGGCTTAAATAGTGAAGTGGCTAGGGAATAGATTCGTCTTTTTTCCCATCATAATGCCTCGCTCGCCTTGACAATTTTCGAGTCGCATGTTCAACTGGCTTTTTTGCTCGATTTTAATCTTTTTCAACGATTTCCGAACGTTTACTTAGACGAAAATATCAGCCAAATAGCTCTTGGAATGGCTACAGATGCAAGGAAATGACGGATAATTTTCTTGGGGACCCCCCCCCCCTCTCAGCGGCGTGCCGCGTCTCCGCGGTTAGTGGGCTCAAAATTCCTAGATCCGCCCCTGCCATAAACCAGCATCTGATCGCGACCCAACGAAAAACAAAGCCACCTTTTTATGATGAAACATCGTCAATATTTACATATTCTTTTACTTATTTGACAACTATTGTTTACATTTTGACACCTTTATTAAAATTGAAGAAAGACGATTGGCAATGTGGCAAGAGGTGTATAGATCAGAGATTTATATGCTTTTATGAAAACAAAACTTTATTTAAACGTTACAGTGTAGTCCGCTACGACCTACGAAAAGTGTTGGCGACCTCAGTTGGGGTCGCGACCCAGAGACTTTACTGTGGGAAGTCAGACAAAATGTCACCCGGACAACTTGGTTTGCCGACATGGTCCAGAAAGAATATTGACTGTCAAATATTCCATGGTGAAATACAAGCCGAAGCGAAGTGTTTCTCTCTTGGCCCACAAAGGTAATAATACTTGAATATGTAATCCCATACATATTTATTTGGAATGGTCATTAATAAAGATTCGGTCGATTTTTTTCAAAATAGGTTTGCATGTGAATATATATACTTTGCCTGGTAAAAGTCAAACAACACAAATTATTATATAGGATTAGGCACGCGAGGAGGGTTATTGATTGTGAAATTTATAAGAGCCAGACAAGATATGTCTGCACTTTTCAGAACTGGATTTCATGGTGTAATAAACGTCACTAGATTTACATACTGGTTAAGATACGAATGTGTGGTTCCCAGGGAACACAGCCCCGCATTAAGCAAACCATTAAGCAAACTCAGAACCTGGGCCCATATGTATAAAACATGTGCAAGGAATTTCTTAAATTTAAGAATTGTCTATAAAACAATCCCTTTAGGGACAATCCTTATTCCAAGTCGTATGCTGATAACAACTTAAGGGACGGGAAATCCTCAAATTCTTCCTTAAGTTCAAGGTACCTCTGAGTACTAAGGCTGGTGTTGTTACTTATTGTTTGTTTATGACTGGATTAATCACATTGAATTGGTTGTTTCAGCGAGCTTTATGTAGATAAAATCTCATTGAAGAAGTGGCGTGCAGAGAAAGGATGGAGGGGTAGATGGCCGCGGGTATTCATTTCATGGGGGTATCGATTCAAAGAGTGAAATTAAAATTACGTTTTTATACGCCCACATTGAAATGTGGTCGTATATTGTTGTCGCCCCAGTCCGTCCGTCGGTCCGTCCGTTCGTCCGTCGGTCCGGCGTCCACAATTGCTTGTGGACGCTCTAGAGGCTAAAGTTAATATCCGATTGACTTTAAATTTATACACAGTGTTTAAGGTCATGAGACGAAGAAGCCTATTGATTTTCAGCAATTTCCGATAATTACTGCCAGAGTTA